CAGAGAGAAGGGATTTTTATTTTGTTTTTATTATGTGTATTCCCGCGGGACGGCCCGCGGATCACGGCAAAGTCTGATTTTTAACTACAGACCGTACCGGTATCAGGTTGGAACCCCGGTCGGACGGTTGAAATTTTATGGTATGGCTTGGTTTACATGTGTTAATGTTTATCACCGTGTAAAATGTGTATTTTCGTGGGGTCTGGTATTTTGGTCATATTTGACTGATCTGCCCGTTCGCTTACAAAGCGCTGATAATGAATTTATTGAAGCTTAAATTGCAAAAAAAAACGGATTTCATTGCATGCAACGGAACTTACAGAATTCAAACTCTGTTATGGCGGATTCACTGAAACGGATTCACTGAATTCGCTGAAGCAAATTTTCCAAGTAATCCCGCTGCAGCTGAGTGAACGTAATTAATAAATCCGTTATCAAACAAGCCATGATGCGACTGTGTATTCAGCGCCAACGGTCGCCCGAGCAGCATGTTTCTCCCTTCTTCCCTCTCTTTACTCCACTAACGCCATCAACACCACCAATATCGCTTCAAAATGGCGTAGGTTGACCCTGAGCCAATTCAATCTGAATCTTCCCCAAAGAAAACTAATCCAATCGACACGCAGCTTCAATGTGATCACAACAACAATGCGCCAAGGCATACAGATCAACCCAACTCTGCTTCCTGCGGCACTACCCAGATCAGCTGTTGTCCTCCACGGCAGATATGCAATGATCATCAATCTAGGTGGGTAGTCGTACACACGCGCATGGTCATCTCGCCGCGAGATCATGTATTGTTGCAGCTTCCACAGAGGTAAGTAGAGCAGTGGTATGGTGCAATGTGTGCAGACACAATGAAGGACGGAAATATTGTTCCACACACCTGTCGAGCCGAACGCATGCCAGCCAAAGGACCTTTCGGCATCGTGGCCCATACGTAAACCGCAGTAAATGAGCTGGCACGCAACAATATTTTCGTTGTCGGAGCCAACAATCTGGGAGCAGCTAGACGAAATTTTTACAGAGGAGGTCAACTCCAAGCACCTTCCGGGTTATCCCGTTTACAAATAAATAGCCGCTTTTATCGTGTACGCGATCGTCACTTTGGAAGAAAGTACTCATGGGCGCGTCGAATTGTCAAGTGTCGGGACCGTCCGCAAACTTGTGTCAGCTCCACTATATCAGTGGATTGCGTGACAGCGACGCTCTGAGTAGAATTATTGGCTGGGCTCACCCCGAGTTAATCGCGCTCCTGAAGCACTTTGGTATTTTGATTTTCATTGACGGTATTTTCTTCAGGTGTGTACCTCGGGGATTCCAGCAATGTATCTTTCTAATGGTTCATGATCGATATTCCGGCTACTATTGCCCTATCTTTTCCATGCTAGAAACGCATCTCAGAATCGATACCGACTTCGACATTCTCCGCTTCACCATGCAAGATAGAGATCAACAACGTGAGCCGAGATAGGTGGTGTGCGCCTTTGAGCGCGCTCATTAACGCTGTGGGTTTTCAATTTTAGGCTGCGGACGTGATCCGCTGTTTGTTACATTGCAAACAGGCAGTTAGTCGATAGATCGCTCGAATGGTGTAGTACTGATCTTAGGAACGTCCATGGCTTTAATGACAACCTCGTAGCACAAATCAACAACTCTTGGAGATGCTCAACCGAAGGTTGACCAACGCGTTTTTGACGCCACATCCTAGTCAAACTTCATTCATTCTGTGTCGCCGAGCATATAGCCAGCGTCGCGAAACAATTCGGCTTCCGCAACCCGTTGAGTTACCAACAGAGGAAGAACCCTCAACCCACGAAAACGACGATGCCGAAGAAGCAAAAAGTGGAAGTGGCGATTCCAGGGATTCACCTTGCCTCCACTGCGGCAGCTGCATGACGCAGTCTTGAAGCGAAGATCACTGACTAGCTGATGAGTGGTTCACAGAACGCCATGCAGTGGCATCCGCATGTGTCGTACAGCTTGCGGTAATGGATGTAGACGAAGTATTGACGAGTTCTCAGGTGAGCACGGCAACTGCATGCTTTAAATTAGGTTATTGTTTGTCTTAGCGCATATTTCCTACATGTCTCTCTGTTGGACTTCCGATGAATGTCCATCAGAGAACCATTTGAGTGGAAAGCGGGGATCCATCACTCGCTTTCGGATTTACTCCGTAGCCATCAATACACTTGGTACAACCTTCCAGCGGACCACCATCCGCACTTTCCTGTTGTTATGTTACTACAATTACAGGCATATCTCGTAGGGCCTGACTTCAGGGTCTGGAAACACGTCAAACCTCATTCCCAGGTCGTATCTGTATACGACTCCAGAACCAACTAACTACACTTACCCCGGCTAACTGACTTAAGGGAGCCGATTTTATTACCAGCCCCCATGTAGGTAATGCAAGACAAGGTTGTATTATACTTTAGCTTGTATAAAGCGGCCATTCAAATGACCACTTTATGTACGGCTGAATATTTTTCTTAAATTTAAAAATACATATATCCTGGTGAACAAGAGCTTAATCCAGAGATGTGGGTATTTTGAGAGGAGTATGAAAAGGTGGTTATCGGTGAGGATGAGATTATGCCAGTGTTTGCCTCAATGCCTGCTGCGTCAAGCAGCAAGATCACCGACTCCAGTCTAATCGCCCAGCGGTGCTTGCGCACTGGAGCGATGTCTCTCCTGTCCAGTAGTTCGCAAGTGCCTGGTTATTCCATCCCAATTGGGACCGTATGTATACTCCTTCCGTGGGGGTGGTTTTTCCACCCCTACACAAAAAATGTGCCGCTAATTATCTTGCCCTGTGGCAAAGGGCTGTAATTCAGCCAACTGAGGTAACTCCCAATAACTCTTAAAAAGAAACAGAAGGACTAGCCAATGATGGGCCGAGCTGCTGTCGGTTGGGGAGGTCCTGAAGAAGCGCAGGACCATGTTATTCGGATTTCCAGTGGTGGTTTAAACGGATCACAAGACCTTCATCTACCCTACCGAGAGTTCACTAAAAGTAAAACGACGGAATCTCTTAGTGTCAGAGTGCGGGTGGAATTGTGCAAGGAAAGCCCAAATTTGCTGACAATGTGTTCGCACGCATGGCGTGCAAGTCCAAATCCAAAGACTGCGGTAATGTTTTGACAAAGGTACTGTTCATCGACCCCCAGAAAATTTGTGTTGGAAGGATACAATATCAAGCAAATCCGAGTACCAACGAGTCTGTACAGGAACTGTTGCAGAGACCCGTCAACGGCAAGGGTTAACCGGACTAGTGTGTCGAGAACACTATGGGAGGGGGGGAGGGAGACTACTTAAGGGCCAGAAGCGTGTGGTGATCCAACATGCGATGTGTACAGAACTTATGGAATGGTACCCCTGACATTATTTTGCATGCCAGAGCGAAGCGCCAACTCCACACTACGTTTTGTTTTGACTGGTCAAGAATGGAGATTGCGGAGAACTGTAAGAAATGCATCACATCTAAGACTAAGTGGCATGGAGGGCCGCAAGCATACGGCAAGTAGCTACCAAGAGATGTGCATGTTGTTGATCCGTTCCACGTCGTATACGTCGATACATTGGGTACCTATGGAAATGAGCGCTAATATGCGCCGACTGTAGTGGGTGATGCAACTCGTTGGATGGAGGAATCAATCCAGCCACGTAACCAAGGAAAGGCGACGTAGTAGAATTTGATACGACATGGTTGTGTCGCTATAATACCCGCGTCCAAAACGGTGATATTTGATGGGGAAACGAATCTAACATAACAAAGAGAGATGCTGGCCAATTATGCGATCAAGCCGAACCGATCTCCGCCAACAATCCACAGGCGAACGCTATTTGTGAACGCGAGTAGTATGTGCTGAGTAATCGCATTAGAGATAGTGACTGGTGCAAAGTGCTTCAATACTTTTTTCGCATGTGCATTCTACCACACAATTGTAAGAACTACTACTGCAACCTAATATTTGGGCAAATCCTGATTACGCGCGCGCTTTACGAGGCAAACTGGAACTACTTGTGCAAGCGCAATTTTGGCACAACTTTACAAGATAATGACCGTGTGAGCAGCGCAAGACAGCAGCGCTTCTACGAAGTAGGCGGCCACGCATTCCAGCCTAAGATCGTAAGAACAAACCCAGAAAGGTGGCAAACGGCTTTCGCTGTCGTAGCAGTGCACGACAATGACGCTGGCACTCTGGACCAAGGAACAACGTAGCAACGAGCAAACTTTTGTCGAGTTTTCCCATGCTTATTGGCTGTCAGCATGGCAGAGTGATAAGGGCACCGACATATTGATGATGACTTTCAATGCAGCAACCAAGGTGAAGTTGCATGTTGCTTATTAGTTCTTTCTAGGTTCTCGTCTACCAGTCGTGAACAAGACACGACAACAAACTAACATAAAGTATCAGCCTTCAATTCGCCTTCTTCGAAGCTTTTCTTCGAGCCAAGGGTATATCACCTCGCTTCTAAATGACATGTTGGTTTTGTGCTGCTCCACTTCTTAAGGTTTCCATACGATGCTTTCTGCGTGACAATCTTATTCTGGTGGAGCGCCAGTCCATCAGGAAGAGTTGAAAGTCCTTAGGTTTAGCATAGACATTGTAGAGGCATATAGAATCTCGCCCGTGTATTCTAGCCGTTCCATGGCAAAGGTTGAGGTGTTGGTGAACTGTGAAACACGAAGATTTGTCAAAAAACATATTTTGACCAATGGGCGTCCACGGCATTAAGATGGATACACTTGTAGTCCCTACCAGAAAACCAAATCAGTAGGGACTCCCTACACCATATTAGGGAGTCCCTACTGATTAGCACTTATGGGACCATTTGTGTTCGCCACACCAGTTTCCGTTTTGTCAATTCCCTTGAGTTTTCTGAACATTCAGGTTTTATTCATAACAATTCCATTAGCATATTTAAACAATTACAACTACGTTTTCAAAAAATCATCATTCACGTTGCACCCCAAATTCCAATTCCGCACTGGCAACGCGAGGATCGGCGGCCATGGCGAACGCGCGACTCAAGCAGGCGCGGCGCCGCGCGTCTTCTCGCAGCTCCAACGCCGCGCAATCTGCAGCCCATCCTCCTGCACAGACGCTGCCATCTTCATCCCTCGCTCAGAGCACTCCGACACCGCGAGATGAGCAGATTTCCGATGCCCAGAGTGAACAGGCGGCACTCCAAGCCGCTCTCTTGGAGCGAAAATCCGTCCTAGAGGATAAAATTCAAGCTCTTACACTAGGTAAGACCATGCACAAAGAGGCTGAACCGGGCTGTGATCCTTCAGGCCGACGTGTGGCCCGCTGTCATCGAGATTATCTACTCCAAGAGATGGAGTGGATGGCTGCGGACTTCTCCCAGGAGAGAAAATGGCGACTGCGCAACGCTAAGATGCTCAGCCAGACGCTGGTATCCCATTTGGACAGACAAGAGCAGCGACTCGCTCGTCAACGGAAGAGCGAGGAGATCGCTAGACGTAGAACCGCCGCCAGAGTGGGTAGAGACGTCAAGAAGTTCTGGACCAAGATCGACAAGATCATCGCCTTCAAGGTGAAGCTACAGGCCGATGAACTGAGACAGAGACACATGCAGAAGCATCTGGTGCAGCTTGTAGAGCAGACGGAGAAGTACGCGACGGCTTTGGTCGCGAGTTTCCAGGAGGCTGAAGAGATGAAGGAAGAGAGGGCGAATGAAGAGTATAAAACTGTGGAGAGTGAGAACAGTGACGCAGATTTTGAGTTGGTAGACGAGGAGGAAGATGATGAGACGACTATCGAAGCTGAGGAGAGGAGAAGTGGACCCATTTCGAGACGACAAGCAGCGGCGGAAATTGCGACGTTGCAGGAGGAAGGAGAGATGTCCATTGAGGAGCTTAGAGCGAGATATGCTGCGATGGAGGAGAGTGATGGAGCTGAGGCTGGTGGCAGCAGTGAAGATGGGGAGTTTGAGTTGACGGAGGAAGAAGAAGACGATGAGACGACGATCGCTGCTGAAGAACGAAGGAATGGACCGGTGTCGAGGAGAGAGGCAGCTGCAGAGGTGGCTGAGTTGCAGGAGGAGAATGAGTTGTCGATAGAGGAGCTGCGTGCACGATATGCTGAAGCATTAGGGGCTGAGGACGAGGCATCTGGAGCTGATCAAGATGATGTCATGGACGTGGTGAATGATGGTGATGTCGCGGACGTGGATTTTATACTGACAAGGCGTGACGAAGAGGATCAGGCTGATGACGAGACTACTATTGCAGAGGAGGAAAGGTTAGAGGGGGACGTCTCGCCATCCCAGAAGGCAGAAGAGTTGAGGCTGCTTCAAGAGGAGGGCGAGATGTCTATTGAGCAGCTTCGAGCAAGATATGCAGCAGCATCAGGCGATGAGTCGAGCAACCATGAAGACGAAGACTCTGGGTCAGATGAAGAGCATGACGCAGCAAACAGAGAAGTGGAGCGTCCCGAGGCTGACGAAACCAATGCAGAAGAGGTTGCTGTCCCTGCTTCTGATGCAATTACAACTCCAGCTAGGAAAAATGGCTACAAGCGGCCTTATCTCTTGACATCACGCCTTGATCTGCGAGAGTATCAAGAAGCTGGCGTCAATTGGCTCATCAGCATGTGCGAGCGACGCATCAACGGCATTCTAGCAGATGAAATGGGCCTTGGCAAGACTATTCAGACGATCTCTCTTCTGGCTCACCTCGCATGCGCTCAAGGGCTGTGGGGGCCTCACCTTATTGTAGTCCCCACTAGTTGTCTAGTGAATTGGGAAATGGAGTTCAAGCGTTGGTGTCCGGCGTTTAAAGTACTGACGTATTTCGGCTCTGCCAAGCGCCGTAAGGAACTGCGGCAAGGTTGGTCAAAACAGAACGCGTTTCAAGTGTGCATTACAAGTTACCAGCTGGTTGTGCAAGACGCGCATTGCTTCAAGCGCAAGAAATGGTATTATCTGATCCTCGACGAAGCACACAACATCAAGAACTGGAAGAGTTTAAGGTGGCAAACGCTGCTGACATTCAGCTCGCAACGCCGGCTATTGCTCACAGGAACGCCGCTGCAGAATAACTTGTTGGAGCTCTGGGCTCTCATGCATTTCCTGATGCCGCACGTGTTCGCATCTCGGAAGGAATTCAGCTATTGGTTCCAGAATCCTCTGGCGCTTATGGTGGAGAATGGGACTGATCCAGCCCAGTCCGGGGATAATGGAGTCGAAGGTGGCAAGGACTTGGTGACTCAACTGCACGGTATCATTCGTCCGTTTGTTCTACGTCGATTGAAGAAAGATGTGGCGAAACAGTTGCCCGGAAAGTTCGAGCATGTGATCACTTGTCAGTTGTCCAAGCGCCAGCGATTTCTGTACGAAGATTTTATATCGCGAAGCAGTACACGACGCGCGATGTTTGGTCGTGGAAAAGGGCGTGGGGCTAATTTCATGAGCATGATGAACGTCCTGATGCAGCTGCGGAAGGTATGCAACCATCCGGATTTGTTCGAACCACGGCCGATTGCGTCTCCGTTGGATATGCCCAGTATTCACGTGCATGTGCCTTCACGCTGTGGATATTTGGTAGACGAGATAGTGAATGAGCGTCCTCGTGTGGCGCTTTGGACAGGTCATAACTTACCAGAGCTGGAGTTACTGCGCAGTGATAAGTTCAGCTCGAAACGACGAAGAGAACTCTTCTTCTACGACGTGAGTGCCCCGCTACCAGATGATACAATAGCGACTGTGCCGCCTGCGTACGAAGGGAAGAAAGATATCGTTCGAAGGATCATGAAACTTGCAGCTAGACGACGAGAATACTGGGAGCAGACACGTGCCAGTGTGTCAAAGCTGCAAAAGATTCACGTTGGATTGTACCTTGACGAACCTGTATATGGAGATGCTCTTATCCGAGCTTGCACGATGCCAACGTTCATCTCACCAGCCATGGAGGTGCACATGCATCACGCTCGACCTTTTCTCGACGACCGTGAGCCGACACAAGCTCTACAAGCTATGGTACGAGACCCCGAGGAGAGACTAGAATCTCTACAGGCTTTGGTCAACAAGTCCGTCTGCTATGTTCCGAAGGCCCGTGCGAGGCCTGCTCGTGTGATCTATGGAGGTGGCGGCTTCGTTTATGACAACAACTTCGTGTTGTCTCGTAAAGCGCAGGCTGAGGAGCTCGAGATGAAACATGCGCACCCTGTAGCCAATCGCATCCTGACTCCGTATTATAACTCGTTCAAGCGCACACAGTTATTTTTCCCTGACAAGGCGCTGGTGCAATTTGACTGCGGTAAACTACAGCAACTTGCAGTGCTGCTGCGCACGCTAAAGCGCGGAGGTCATCGGTGTCTCATCTTTACACAAATGAGCTCGATGCTGAACATCCTCGAAGTGTTTTTGAACCTGCACGGTCACACATATTTCCGTCTTGATGGTGCGACCAAAGTGGACAAGCGGCAGATGCTGATGGAGCGTTTCAACCGCGACGAGAAGATCTTCTGCTTCATTTTGAGCACGCGAAGTGGTGGCTTGGGTATTAATCTTACTGGGGCAGACGCTGTGATCTTCTACGACTCAGACTGGAATCCCGCGATGGATGCACAGGCTCAGGACCGTGCTCACCGTATCGGACAGACGCGCGATGTTCATATCTATCGACTGGTGAGTGAACATACAGTGGAGGAGAATATTCTTCGCAAGGCGCAACAGAAACGTCACTTGGACTTCTTGGTCATGTCGGAGGGTCAGTTTACCACGGATTTCTTCTCTAAGGCGAGTTTACGCGAGCTTATGATAGGCACGGGGGAAGAACCGGAGGATATCGAGTCGGAATCGGAAGATGAAGGCTCTGATGAAGACATGGACGACAATGAAGTGTCGCTTGATACGGTAGAGAATGCTATGGCTCAGCTTGAAGATGAAGAAGATGTCGTGGCGATGAAAGGCGCTCGGGCCGAGTATTTGCAGGAACTGAACGAGTTCGACGACGATGCAGCGCGTGTACCTCAGTCAGGGGATACGGCTTCAAAACCGTCAACACCATCGTCGGTAGTGTCGGGTAGTACTGCTGCGAGTGAGAAGGGAGACGACGATGATGAGTTTGGACACGACGATGCAGCAGAAGACGACGCAGCTGAAGAGACAGGAATTGGACGAGGTCGAAGAGGAAGTAGACGTGACCTAGCAACACCTGATGGGTCAGAACATGAGAGTATGGATGAGGAGGACAAGAAGACCGTAAAGTCGAGGAAACGACAGCGTCGCAGCTCGAATGACCGGAGAAAAACGCCGAAGCGACCGAAGCTCTCGGCACCCCAAGATCTTAACGGAAAGAATGTCGATAAGGTTCGTGAGAAAGCTCGTGATGCTGCTGAGGAGCAAAAGTTGCAAGCTTGGAAGGCGTCAGTGCAATCTCTACAGGGATTCGAAGACTCGTTGAACCCCGTGGATCGCTACGCACTTCATTTCCGCGAAGATGTGGATCCTCTGTATGCGTACACACCTGCTCAACAAGCAGCAGCTCTGGCCGGGGTGGAGTCGAATCCAACAGCACCTACTTTGCTAGAAGACATCGAGCAGACTGAAGCTGAGAAGCGGGAGGAAGAGGCTCGGCTTATTGCAGAAGGGGAACTTGTGGTCGGTCAGATTGAAGACAACGAGGAGACTAACTCAGAGCAGATAGCAGAGCGATACACCGAGCTATACCGTCGCGAGCGAGCGCACGTTCTCTTTGAGAGTCGGAAGCGTCTTCTTACGGGTGCAGCTTGGTCGCTCATGAAGTGTGCGAACACTGGCCAGCCCTTCTACTTCAATGCCGATACCCGTGAAGCAACGTGGGAGTGTCCTCCAGTGTGGATCGCGAACGAGCAGCTCAAGAGCGCCCAGAAGAGAGGTTATGAAGGCTTGCCACCGCCAGCGTTGCACCGTGTGATGTCGCTGTTGTCTCCATATCCGGAACGGCATCGAGCGCAGATGGTATGTCGGAGTTGGCACACGGCAGCGCAGCATCAATCGCTGTACGTCAAGGTGTCGGCTAGCGACTTTGAGTCAGGTTTGCCAGTGTCTTTAGCCAAGGTTCTCGCGAAGGTGGCTCCAGGTGACACTGTTCTCTTCGGTGCAGGTGTGTATCAACTGGATGAAACGCTGGAAATCTCGAAGAGCCTGAGGTTATTAGCAGCCCCGGACTCGCACGTGGAGCTACAGATGCATTCGTGTCGTGCGCAACTTCGCTGGAGTGCTCGTGGTGGCGTCATTTGCGGCTTCCATTTCACTCGAACTAGCAGTACTCCTGATGTTGCTGCACGTGAGATAAAACCGAGTAGTGATGTCAAAGAAGGAACGCCCGTGGTCAAGGAAAGTAGACGTGTGTTACGCAAGCAGAACAAGAAGTTAGCGAACTGGCAGCATTTGTTGAGTGTGGTGGGGGACGGACAACTGCGTGTGGAGTACTGCGAGTTTGACGGCAATGGGCTGGGTAATGCGTGTGTGTGCGTCTGGGGTCGTGCAGAGAAGAAGAAGAAGAAAAAGAAGAAACGTGGTGGAGGTAGTAGGTCCAGCTCGGCTCCGACATCAAAGCCTGGCACACCTCTTGTTGGACTGTCACCAGCTTCGACTCCGGCTGCCACACCACGAGCTTCTGCACCAGCCACACCAGTAGTTTCTATCAAGCTTGTTGCTACACCATCAGTCTCAGCAGCAACCCCAACGACTACAACGCAGGTTTCCACGCCTGTGGCTGCTGTGAATACGACGCAACGTGTTGCGCCTTCAACACCGAAGGCTCCAGTTCCAGTGGTTACTGCTACACCTGCAGCGCAAATCGCCAAGTCTACGTCTGCCACTCCAGTGTCTACAGTGTTGCATAGTACGACTCCTTCTACTCCTGTGAGTACCATCACAAGGATAGTGGCTCCACCAGTTTCTAGGCCGGTGAGTATTGCCCCGAGGGCTACTACGCCGATGTCAACTTCTGGAGGGACTTCAACGCCGCGTGTTACTACACCATCGACTGCTACGCCGAGACCTACTAAGTCTACTATCCCTGCCGCAGACACGTTGCTGGTGCTTCAGAATTGTCGTATTAGAGGAGCTGGAAGCTCGGGTGTGCTTCTTGTGCGTGGATCTTTGGTGATGACGCTGAATACTGTGGAAGGGAATGCGCACTCGGGTGTGACGGTGCTGGGTGGACAGGCCTTGATGCGACGGAACAAGATCCAGCGAAATGCTCGCTTCGGCTTGCGACTGCTTTATCACGCTGGTAATGTGATCGTGGAAGACAACGTGGTGTTTGGAAATGCGTGTGGCAACCTGGACGTCGACAACTCGGGCCGACGCTTCGTTGTTCGCTTGAACGACATGGACAAAGGCAAGAAGACGACCGAGAAGCTGCCACATTCGCACGGCAAGCTACGACTGAAGACATATCGCGTGCTGGAGAAAGAAGTGCCACGTCCTGTGCCTGTCCCTAGTGTTACAAGTGCCACAAGTGAGTACTGGAAGAGACAACTGACTGGTACTGGAACAGTGACACCACCAGCGTCAGCGGCATCGACGACAGCTACTCCGGCTAGACCTGTCATCTCTGCTAACAACATGATGGCAGCTAGGATTCCAATGGGCTTTATGCGGCCTGTAATGTTCCCACAAGGATCTAACGCGCTGCATGTGTCACATCTGCCGATGGCATTTGCGTCGCTGGGAGCGAAGCCTACGATACCCTCCGTGACGTTGAACCGATCAACTACAAGTGCGCAACTACCCACGACTGTTGCGAATCTGCAACGGACTGTAAGTGCTCCTGGTGCTGCTGCTAGACCCGTCACTATACCTGGAACTACGAGTGTCACTACCACAACAACAAGTACCGTAGCTACACCGAGTGGAATGTCTGTGCCGAAGTATCAACGAAAGCGTCGACCCAACACGCAGCAGATTGTTGTCGGTGGTCGAGAGATTGTGCTGCGTGACACGTGCGAGAAACCCACGGAGAAGGTAGTGAAGCCACGACGTCCCAAAAATCCGCAGACGCCAGTGCCTACGTCTACAACCCAGCAGATGACATCACCCTCTGCGCTTCAACTGAAATTCGCTCCTGGCTCAACAGCAGCAGCAGTGGCAGCAGCGATGAGTGCGATGATGTCGAACACAGCGAAGCTACAAGCTGCTGCTAAGACGCAGGTTCATACAGGTACTCCGGTTGTAAGTACAGGAGCGACCAAACCAGCAACACCTTCGACTACGATGAGTACTGTTGACGTGAAGCCTGTAACACCAAAGCCAGTGGTGACTATTACGGCGCCACTCCAGGCGGTAAGCACTCCGTCAGCCGTCACACAGACGAAAGCGACTGCATCAGTGGCACCAGCAGCTCAAACTGCAGTGGTTTCGACTGTCAGTTCTAAGACAGGTACACCGCAACCTACAGTCGCTGCAGCACCGGCGGTGAAGGTTGGAAATATGTCGACGGTGACTTCAAAGGCGACGGTACCTGATTCATCGACCGTACCCGCAAATGAGTCTGCAAAGCCAGGAGAAAAGCGGAAGTTGGAGGCTGCAATAGAAACAACGGAGAAGAGTTCTGGAGCTGGCGATGACCAGCCAGAAAAGAAGGTGAGCAAGCTATAAGCGAGGGTACACTGGGTCTATGACGATAGAGGAGAAAAACACAATGCTTCACAATCTATTTATCAATGAACAAAGCGACGAGACTTTGAGCTAAAGCTGTCAAGGTGCGGAGTTACTTGCAGTGGACTAGTTATACAAGTGATCGAACACTGCAGCACATAGATTTCCTTTAGGGACACAGATTTTATACCACTGCGAATGGTCGCTGATGCAGGGAGCTCCACCAGCGACGAGAAGATCTCGATCACATTTGAAGGCGCGTAAATCGCGAGTGCCGAATCCACAGCCGCACTAGCCAAACGAAAGATGTGAGTTGTGTGACATTACTGGTGAATACGTTAGTACCAGTGATTCAAATTTGCACGGTGGTAACAACAGAAGCCAGAAACTGAAATTGGCGAGACCTTAAAATGACAGCGAGTTGATCATCGAAAAAAAAATCGCGCTGACGTAGATGTACATGAGCGATGGTATATCAATGAGCAGGCATGCTTTCCAAGTGCCTGCCAATTAATACAAAGTTAGCCTCGGTGAATGCAAAAAAAAAAAAAAGAAAAAAGAAACGCACTCCTAATTTGGACTACATTTGGATTGGTGCATGCCGGCGTCTCCGCTCATGGAGTCTGGGATGCCCACCGATCAAATCTCCTCGATTGCAGGAACCTCTTCAGCCTGGCAACACTGTGGAGATGTTGAGATGCACAGCCCGAGCGATGGCTCATCCAAAACACACGCCAGCCAGCTTTTTAACGTGTCAGTCACGTCGTTTCCAGGTCCCCTATTATCAACACTTCATTCTACACCACTAAAAACACTCAAGTCGCGAAGAAACATTCACCCTGAACTGTCTCCTGGTGCTCTCCAAGGACCAAGCAAACGAATGCCAGCACGTAAAAGAGAACTGCAGGTTGATCCAAACAAGTTTTCAAGGTTTGTGGTGATTTTTATGAAGTCTTTGGTTGGAGCTATGGCATTATTGTGCTTCGTGTGGACAATTTGGCTCATATTGTTGACAATTAAACCAAATGAGACGGTCAACTGGGTCATGAAGACGGAAACCTTCGATGACGGCTCGTTCTGGTTAATGGTTGACCCTCCAATTGAAATGGCTTCGCTGTCTGTATGTGGATTTTTGCTAGTGGCGATTGGATATGCTTCGGTATTTGTAAAGGTTATTCAACAGCCAAAGCACACGAGATTAGTCAGACATGCATCTCGGCTGGAATCCATGACTACAAATTTGCGCAAAGATATCATTTCTAGCGCAAGTAAGCAGCGCGAAAACAAGGTGACGACGGTCCTCGCTCACTCGGTATTGCTACTGGTCAAAGACGATAGTGTGGCTGTGAAGATCGTGGTAAGAATTGATCTTGAACATCATAACTTATCTAAATACTGGTCTAACATCGCTTTATTTACTACACACAGCGAGTCTGGATAAAATTCGCCGACCTCGCAATCGAGTCGCTTATTCTATACCAGATCCTAGAGGAGGGCTCACCCTCTCTGCTAGTAGCGGTGTTTTCTACCATTGTAGGGATGAATGCGTTGTCATGTGCGCTTATGATGTTTCTTCCGAATGACCAAACAGGACTGAGCGAAATTATCGTCGATACACTGTAAGTATCGACTGTTGTAATTTTTCTAAATCTTACTATCTCCTTGTATGGTTTCAGATTTGACTTTCTGGTTGCGGTGGGTTATCCAATTCTAATGGTTATTTACTGCCTATCAACATTTGGACTTGATCACGCAAAAATTGCGATTAACTTGAAAGTTTTTCCTGCTGGGTATTTCGAGAGGAATGCAAGTGTTATCGCAGATCCAGTGCAGACAGACATCATCTACAAAACTCTAAAGTCCCTTCAAATTTTCACGTTACTGGACTTCACTCTACGAGTCGGAGTTCACGTGGTTTTCTCATATCGATTGTCTCGAGTGGCTGATCTTATACGTGACTCAAGTAGGAGACCCGCACGACTGTATCCAAAGCGACATTTTCTATGCACCATGGCATTGGTTGTATTCGCAGTTATCCTAGCCATATTTGTTCAGAAAAGCATGTGGACATCCGCAATGGCCTGTCAGCGCCATCTTGAGTGCGCTGTCAAAGCTCATCGTTGGATTATTGTAGATCAAGATTCAATGACTCAGTGTCCATGTTTGGTCCTTATTGACGGTGATCTGGCACCCAAAACATTTGAGAGTTGGCAGCAACCTGAGGATGTGACTCTCAAAGTCACACAGCTAGCTACGACAGGAGACCTACGTACAATTCAACTCACGAATCGATATTTTCCGACGTTACCGGAGCAGTTGCGACGATGCAGTAGAATGCGGCATTTGTACGTTATTCTGTTTTCAAAATTTATGTCATATGGCGTTTTCACAAGTTTGCGTCGCTATAGATCACTCGTTTACACGCACACTGACACGCTCCCCGCTTGGATCAAAGAATATACCCATTTGGAGTATCTGTAAGTCCAATCTGTGATTACTATACAAGAATCGATGTGTGTTCTCAAATTTTTTTGTTTCTAGGTATGTCGAGGGGACATTTGACAGCTCACTGGTCGAACTTCCGCCGGATATGCTCGATGAGATGCCATTGTTGACGTTTATTCACTTGGGGATGCATCTACGACTGCAAAGGCTGCCTTCGTTCAACGGCCTGAAGAACCTGAAAGCACTCACATTGGCTCTGTTTGTCTCGCTAGTTGAGTTGCCCTCGTTCGACAATTTGTCCAACTTGGAGCGCTTGGTGCTAACCTACGTACCACGTATTGAAATTCTCCCTGATCTGAAGGCAGTGCAGAAGCTCAAAGCCTTCTCGGTTAACGATCGCGGGGGTTGGTGCTGCAATGGATTTCTCGGTGAATGTAATCTGCAAGACCCTTTTTGTGCTGCCCACCCCTTTTGGGGAATACCTCCAGCCTCATGTTTACCATCGAGCAGAACTGCATCGAGTGAGACTATAGCGGTGGTTGATAAGTTCCCTTCTACTGTCTGTAAGCCTGTGGAATCGAGATCTCCGGGGCCAGGTTTTCCATCTCCAGACACTATCTCCCAGTGTGATGGTGTTCTTTATCGCAAATGTCATCTGCCTGGGGTCGAAGAAGCCATGTGCTACAATGCAAGATTCATGGCAATCTTCTGCATGCCTGATCCGTTAGTGATCGAGATGCGACGACGTCAAATTCAGCTGGGTGTGGGAGATCTATGCAATCCCGACCAAGAAGCCTGGTTGGGATGTCTGTAGTCCGTTTAGACCGAAACAAATTTCGTTCTTTTTTGCAATAAGAATTGGTATTTATCAGCACCGGTGAGCAGCTTAATTGGATTTCATCATAAGGGAAAATGTCAGTCTAGTAGCCTCGGTCTGCTTCCCTTACTAAATCATCGATATCAAGTATCTGATTGGCACGTGCCAGGTAGCGTTGAAAAGAGGTACAAAGCCCGGTTTTATAGATTAAATTGGTGCAGGTAATAGCGTTTTGTACATGCTTTCATTGCGATTCCGCGAATTGGTGCCCTTGCCAGTTTAGTAGCCCCTTGACTTGATCAAAGTATGCTTTGGTTCACCAGAAAGAGCGTTATGGAGGGAACCGTCTTTCGCTGACCAATAGAAATCGCTTGCTAAAACGTGACTCGATACATGTTTAATTGGCTAATGAGGAAGGCTACGAAACTGACCTTTGCTCTTTTCTCTAATCCTTGTTGGTGCCACAATGATTGCAGTACACTGCCGATGCTTGAATCTCTATAGCAACTGCTCAACAAGGTCTTCATGTCTGTAAGGATTCTATTGAAAAAGCGAAAAACAATTAGTAAAAACAAATAGAAGGCCACCTTTCATCATCATATCAGTGCACTGGAGATTGTTAACCTCAGAATAAACCCTTCTTTTACGAAACATATATTATTGTAAGCATTACAAACTCCTACATTATTTTTCTGACCTGTGCAAATATCGGGAAAATTTGAGATTTGGTCCGCTATTACTATTTACTAACGGTTGAACTTTAACTAGTAGGGCGCGTGCGTTACTTTAAATTTATGTGACGGTTTCCAAGTGCGTGTGAGGATTTATCAACTATACTAGACAGTAATAATATAAAAACGGTGTGGATCAAATCACCAACAGCATTTTATTGATTTGCAGTTATCGTGACATCCGCCCTTCCCCGTAAACGTATACGTTTTACAGATATTAGTTTCTCTGTAGTGATACGCGCTCACTTTGTACACCTAATAGGTCCGCTGCGGACCCACAATTCATCTCTGATAGAATAAGGGTTAACCCTTTTTACAACCAGAGATGAATTGTTTAAAGGGTTAAACCTTTCACTACCAGAGATTAAAAGGGTTTAAGTGCTGCAATTAGGTCGTCCGCGACTTAACTGCGACTTAAACTGTGAATGCATATACACATTTTTTGAGTTGGGATTATGGATCAGAGTTGTGGCCATAACATTCTCCAACCGAAATTGGGGAAATGTTAAATCCGCCCGATTTACCATGGTGCTACTCCAACGTCGGTTTGCCGTGTAGGCATTATAGCTGTGGTGAAATAGAAGAACTGAGTCTATTGAAAGACTAATTTTTTATCTATCTGGTTATACTGTCCAATATTCTGCATGGTTGAATATTTGGCGGTTATACTAGATATTTTCAATGGTACCCTGCAAAGGCATGGACTACTCCAGTTTTCTTATATATCCTTTATCAAATGTCTTACATTATTAGCTCACCTGAAAATCTCTAAATAATGTCTAAATATCCGCTGTGTAGGCTTACTCGTGTGCAAATCGGGCATCATCAGTGACCGATATTGCTACAGATATTTTTAGATTTCATTCAGATATTCTTCCTGATGCCAAGCTGTTCCAGCAGCGGTCAATCTTTTTTTTTTTTCACAATACCGTCGAGAACCCTTTCGCTGTCGTTCTCCACTCTGGATCTCGAATAATACTTTCCACACTTCCACCCACTCCGCTTTATAAAACGAAATGAAAACTGCAGCACCGCCTGCACAGACGAAGAAATAACAACAATTGTTTCTTAAAAATTGCAAAAGAAAAATCGTTATGTGACACGAATGTTGACCCAGTTTTCGCTACGCATTTCGATCTACGCAGTTTTCTGGATTTAATATCCAGAGTCCTACCCGGGATTGTGGCGACGTTGTAATCCTTTGATTATTAATACGTAGTCTTAAAACGATATAGATGCATCCCCGTTCTCTATATATTGGCTTGTTATGTACACTAACCCTTTGGATATTTATATATTCCGTGAAGGTTGACCCATTCGGAGAAGATTACAATTAAGTGCCAGTTAGAATTATTCGAAACTTTCGTGTAGTTTATCCGACATTTGGTGTACCTACCGAGGTTGACAACCTTCCATCAATCCTGCCACAGTTCAGCCCGCGAGAGCAACACGACGTTGGCAAAACGTCGCTGGCTGTGTCTGTAAATGGAGGAATGCTTTACATTTACTGACAGCCGTACCTCGTGTTCTCATGCCAGGTTTGGCTATCAACTCACCAAAAATATGCGGTTAGCAAAACTTGTTTGCCTGCTGTCGTGAGCCCTTGATGACGCCCGATTTGCACACGAGTAAGCCTACGCAGCGGATATTTAGACATTATTTAGAGATTTTCAGGTGAGCCATTATCCAACCGTATTCGACGACCATGTAGTTGGTTGTCGTCTTTTTACGACCAAACAGAGCTTGCTTTTTTGCGTTTTTAACTGGTTTCTACTTTTTACGACGTTGCATATTCGCCGCGATTTACGGTACGTCCATGACGACAACAAAGCTTTAGTCGCACAGAATCCAGAGCTGTTCCATTATGTATTCTTGGTGCTTCCCGAAAAACTTTTTCATGGATTTCCCCGTACGACGTCATGACTGGCAGAGCGTTGTTATCTGGATTGGCAATCCAGAGCTGGGCAAAACCCAAGATTTTAGGAGTTTCCTTGTCGAAGAACGACAAGAAGCACCACAAAGACGTCCATCTCCAACCATCGTATTTTGCGGGTGGTCAGATCCCGGACTCGAGCACATCTCTCCGATTTATTTACGATGTTAACTCATTTGTCACCCATTTGTCCTTCTCCCGTTTTGATGGTAACTACCAAGATCTGATCATGTGGGAGCAACTCACAGACGCGGTTCGCGTAGCTTTGAATGGCAGCAACAAATTCGGGAGAGCGGAAGTCCCATTTAGTGATGAACACTACCAAGACCATCTCCATAATGCGTGGCCACTCCAGCTTTATGAAACAAACGCTCGAAATGAGAGAAGTACCGCTCCGTCATAGGGATAACAAAAAAATACACCTTTTCAAATTGGCCTGCCAACAGATCGCAGGTAAATTCAATCATGACCAAGGGAGGTACGGTAGGGTGATTACAAGAAGATGAGTTAATCGCCAGAGGTCCGCGACGATGAAGGTAACATTCCACAAGCTATCTCGCTTGGACCTTGTAACTAGAGCACGCTCACCACCGACGGATCAGCATCAAAAACGTGTGCTAAGCCGTTATGCGATACAACTATGTATACAAGTGATTCACGAATGAATGCCAGCTGTACGTTTTCTAGATTTCCATTAAAAAAAAATGAATTCAGGGCTGCAGTCAGGTGCGTGACTTCGCGCTAAGGATTCCTCGGGACTGGGCGCAACTCGTCGTTGTTTTTTTAGTCTTAAACAGATAGCATCCCTTTCAAATTGACTGACGCGTCAAATCGTTGCATCCAGTCGTTTCAAGTCCGTTTTAGTTACTTCGCAGTTTATTTCTTATCTAAATGACATTAATGTATTACTGAGAATCGATACGTTAGAAGTACTATTTCTTCGAGTATATGCACTGCTTTATCGTTGGGTCATGCTGCCTGCAGAGACACCGGTATTACAAGGAATAAACAATAATATTTTAATTATGTTACGAGCACTTTCAAAATGAAAGGAAGTAGCTATTCGTGGTATTTATCATTTTTTTACTTGATAACATGATTTTTATTAGCATCACGTCATACGTGGAATATTTGATGTCAGCTGGAATGTTAGAATAAGTGGTTTTTCTATTCGCTTTCAAATTCGTTGACTGATACTACTGCAATACAGTCTGTAGGTTGTCGCTTTGCAGCTGATGGTGGCGGGCCACTCACTGGCGTCACGGCAGCAGGTTTGCCAGTCACATCGCCGGCATGTATTGTCCAACTACTTTTAGTACACGTAATTTGTATTAAAAAGCGATAGTATTTATGGCGAAGTGTCGACAGCAAGCTGCAAATCTTTGGTAATACATGTACACGAACGAATACAAGCAGCCTGCTCGTATTCATTCGTGTATTACCAGTCAGCTTGAAGCAGAACGGGTAAAACATCGAAGCAAGCTAGCGCTGCCCTCACAACTCGCAAACATGCATTTCCGAAGAATGACTGTCGATCGAAAGAAATTGTTGAGCCAGCTCCAAGGCTTAGGAATCACTTCCGTTCGCATGGCCATTATTGATTTCTCCGCCATGGCGTCAAGTACCCACTCCTCTCGCGTTTCGACCAAACAGCTTTTGGCCACTACGCTGGTTGCCTTAGCAGCCTGCAGCAATGCTCACGCCGCTGCGACCAACAACTCTACTTCTGTCGATCACGCTACGTTTGGTGACATCAGGTCAGGTAGCGACAAGTGTGTTATCGGAAACCCCAATGCGGGGGGAGTCACCCGTGAGCAGATCGACTGGGTGTGGGAGAACACGATGAAAAAGTACGTCACCACGCCTCAGTTCGGGAACCTCATCTTCGACCAGCTCGTGAACAACAAGGGCAAGCTCAGCTACTGCGTGCGTTGGGAGAACGAGAAGAAGCTGACCAAGGCCGTGGCATCCAAGTTCCAAGCCATGATCGAGCAGCAGATCAACCTCTGGAACCGCTGGCTGGTGGGCTACAACTGCTGGCCAATCGACAAAATCGACGTCACGGTGGTGGGCTTTGCCGTGCGCGACAAGTCGATCATGGACTGGGACGACGACTCGCTGGGCACTATCTACGAGGGTATTCTGGACCAGGAAGGCAACCCCAAATGTCCAGATGAATGCTACAAGCACCGAGGGCAAGCTGCGAGCGCTGATACGAGTGAGTGCAAGGGTGCGCCGTTCGATATGTCGCTATGGCCGTCGGTATCACCGGGAGAAAATGCTGTCGGCACAGACGGCGACTGGGGCCAACGCATCGAAGTGAACCATTTCCTGGAAAATCTGGACCAGGAGCAGCAAATGGTCATGCTGCACGAGATTGGTCACGGCTTCGGTTTGCCGGAGATGTACGTGTCTGAGAACAAACCTGCCGACTATCCTGCTTGTGTGATGGATGAAGGTGCCACGCTGACGGAGGGCGATGGCTGGTTGCTTCGCAGCGTCTTGGAGAATATTAGATCTCGCTTGAACTACTAAGCAAGATTGAGAATCGCCCGTGATGTAGTGGGCTGACCGCTGGATGATAAAATAACGTTGATGTTTGTGTTGCCTGAATCATTTTTGTAACAGTTAATGATCGTATCGGTACTGCTATTCCGCGAGCCCCAACTTCACTTAAAGAATACGCGCAATTGAAAAGGGTACTAGGTACACCGTAGAGTGGGCCGAATCTGAAGATAATGCTGTCAAAACAGCAATTCATGTGCCGTAGAAATTAGATCGAGTTTGCACATGTTTTTTCATGCGATGGTCGTATATAGCTTTTTTTTTGGCGAGGCATGTACAATAGAGCACTGTTAGTGTACAAATATACAACAAAACAATAAATCTAAAAAAAAACTAATGAGCTCCGTGCATCGCATGCTAATTTTTTTTATGTTACTGTGTGCTTCACTTGCAGGCCCTTCGTGTCGTATTGTACTTAGTTCGAGTACGTAAACCGCAGGATATATCTGCTGCATTGCCCAATTCACCTCATGCGTGAATTAATTCTATTAATATTGCTCTGGTATGCAAGTTTTTCATCGAATTAAATTATTCTAAGTTTTATTCAAATTCGATTTTCTAAAAGTTGAAAACAGAACGCGTTTTCAATTGACGATCCTCCCGCCAAAATTCGAAACGCTATAGAATTTCGACTTACCATTATTACATTTTAGGGCTCAGTAAGCAGATCACTCTAATTTCCTGTCGTACTTCGAAAAGAGTAACTATTAGAATGCTTGCGTTTCCGCCAGCAAACCACAGCTCTACTCTGTCTCCAGCATATGTCAGTGAGCGCAGTTGTGTTCATTCATTCTAACAACAACATAAATTAAAATTTAAGATTCGCGGTGGCCATGTTGCGACTGAGCACCGACATCTTCAGAAGGCTGAGAAGTTAATATTTTTATGGTTAATGCTCTTTGTGTCTTAAAATGGGCATCCAAGTCTATCCCGATGCTTATTTTTCTCTTACATGAGTAATGGCTGTGCAGCTTCGCGCTCCAAACGCTGGACAGTCTCTAAGAGCCACTCGAAGTTGTGCTGCTGCGCAATGCGCTTTAGCAGCCGCATCGTTTCCAGGAGCGATTCACGCACTCCAGGTATCAGCGCGTACGTGCCAGAACAAGGGCAATACTCGCGCATTTTGTGCTCGGCTGGAAGGTGGCACTTGCGGCAGTACAGATCCTGCAACTGGTAAGCAACAGACTGCGCCTGCACCAACTCCACAAGTCGCATTTCGAACGCGGTTTTGTCGTATAATGCGAAGCATCGAGGGCAATGCCAGGCAACAGCCGCGTCGGTGTCCTCATCATTTTCCTGTCCCTCGTCGTCTTCATCGGAACGTGATGCGTTTCCCTTGAAGAGCTGAGGGTCTCGACATAGGTCGACAGACCGGCAAAGATTGCAATTAAGGCAGATGACGTCTTGCACCGTAAATGACAGTGACGGGTTGCGAAACTGGGATTCCTCACCGAATTCACTCGTGTGCAGCAACTTAAGCAACGTGCGTCTCATCTTGCCCACTTGAGTCTCCACACTTGGCTCCAGCTGGAATACTGCAGTCACAAATTTCACCAATTCCAGTGCAGGCGACTCCATTGACAGATGCGATCCAGCAAACACAGGGAAGCTGTCCCGATCCATGTTGTGCGTCAGAATCTCAGGAACTAGACGCAGCATCTTGTCGGAAAAGTACGACGATACGAGCTTTTGCGAATACTTGGCAAGTGGACTCAACTGCTTCTCATCCTCATCCAAAGGCTGTCCATCATCCTCAGCAACGTCCACCTTGGCGTCGTCGCCCTTTGCGAGCCTTCTACGCTGGAACTCCGCACGTCTGCGGATGAATTGACCAACCAAGATGAGAAAATACTCGTCCACGCCACGTGGCAAGTAGTTGGCGATATTCCAGTGAGCTACGATCTCCAGAGCTTTCTCTCCATTGTCGTCGTGATCAGTCTCCTCTTCTTGTTCTTCCTCTGGCACCACGTTCTTCAGCAAAATGCAGCCGTAGTTCTCCGCATCCAGAAACAAAAGGTTCGAGAAGTATTTCTTCGGAGTAAAGTTGAGCACCTGGAAGAGTTCGTTGGACAGCACAGTCTGCAAGATGAAGTTTAGGTACGTCTGGGCATCGCGCACTGACTTTTTCTTGGTGCACACGATGATCTTACTGAAGTCTGCGTACACGATTTGTGAGCCAAGTCGCCTGAACTCTGCGAGGAGCTGCAAGAACAACTTCTCCATCAACCGCTTAACCATCGCATGCAATGCCGGATCGAAACTCAAAGAGTTTGGAGAGCACAGCCACCGATAAAACTGCTGCAGCACGTGATCCGCAAACTTGTTCCGACTCGCCAAGAAATCCTTGAAGAGCGTCGTCACCATCACACGCAGCAAGCGGAAAGCTTCGTGACAACTCTCCTCGGCATCTCCTTCTGCTACTGCTGGAGCAGCGGAGCCTTCTGCCTTCGCACTCTCACCACCTTCACCATTGCCGTCAAAATCGATCTCCATCTGATGCGCTACTCCCAGGCCCTCAATACTATGGATCTGAGACGCCACGAGAATTGCGTTGACTGCAAGACCATCCAGCTCTAGCTCAACGCACACATCCACGAAAGATCCCTTATCGCAGACCACAATAGACGTGTCTACACGGTGCTGTGAAGCGGCATCGCTCTTCTGCTGTTGTGCCGATCCCAACAGCGATTGACTAAAGAGCTGTTGGAACTGCTGCTCCTGCTCCTTGCCTCCCAGGTCTGGTAGTGATGTTGGCGAGTGCCACCACAGATGCTTGTGCTTGGTCAAGATACGCGAGTACAAGGTGTCCAAGATGGCGATGGAGTGGTCACCTGTGAAGTTACCCACAGGCAGATGTGCGTAGCGAGCGCAGTCCAGCACATCCGCATAGTACTGCGTCATCTCGAAACAGCGCGTCAGCATCTTTTCTCCCATGATTTTCCGCCACGTCAGCGCTGGGAAGAGCGTGTCTTCTTCATTCCACGGCAGCATAGCAACAGGGAAGCTGTGAAGGCCCTGCATCTTTTCACGAAGTCGCTTGCTGGACGGAATGCACGTCTGCGCCACTACAATCGTTGGTTTTGGGGCAAGCTGCTTGTTCGAAGCTAGTCGTGCGAGAGTCGCATTCACGCCGGAGAAAGCTTCCTGTGTTGTTCTGACGACGTGCGTCTTGAATGAGCAGCTCTGGATAGGAGCAGCGACACCTTCCTCTTGTGATTCCAGAAGAAGTTGTTCGAAGAAATTCTTCAAATCGGAACCTCGAGACTTGACGTTCGAGACTGGATCCACGTACCAAACGTTGGCATCGCCCTCGCTGACTGCCTTTCCCAAGCTCTCAGCACTGGCGACGTCGTCTTCCTCTTTCAGCACGACCAAGCCCAGAATGGCGCGCTTCTTCTGCTGCGCAAAATACAGCAACACCCTCCGCATTAGCGAGTTTGCCTGAGGAGCTCCATTAGCCGTTAGCAAGTGCTGGGGGTCCATGAGATATGGTGCTTGTGCCGTGGATTGGAACTGTAAGTCGCTGAGTTCGTATTCCTGATTGGTGCTGGAGAGGTGCGGGTTGACTACCTTGGCCACGCAGCCAAGAGCACAAACTGCTCGCGTCAACGCAGACACCTGCAGTTCGTACACGCCCTTCACATGAGGGTCGCCGAGAATCTGACTGATCTCCTTGTGATATTGTTGATACTGCTGCTCGCTGAGCTTTACCTCCAGTACCGATTGAGGTTTGGACGAAAAGTGAGGCACAATCCGAGATACACGACGCGATCCTGGTAGCAACGAAAGCAAACTATCATGATCAGCATCTTCGCACGTGATGTAGAATACTCGTGGCATCTTCAGGGTAATTCGCTGAAGCATTTGCGAATGAGCAGTTAGAACCCAGCACGTGAAAATTCCTCCCTGTTCTTGCTGAATCTCCACAATCTGCCAGTACTCGCGCTGCAATGCGCTTCCAGCATTAAAGACAAAGTTCTCCATACCAACTCCGTTGCCTTTTGCAGCAAGAACACTGGTGGATCCACTCTGGAAACGCTTTGCACTGCCGTGTGCGCTGTTCGCCATTCCAAATCCACCCGCACCACCATAATTGTGCATTCGTTCCTCTCGCTCACGTCGCCGCTTGCCGAGCATGGACTTCCACTTCTTCTTTCGGTTCTTCAGCCACTCGGTGAATGGCACATCTCCGAGCTTCATCTTAGCCGCAGGTATGTCGTCCACACCGTCGTCATCGATCTCCTCGATCGGACTACTGCTGTCATCTCCGTCACTTGTTTTCTTTCCCCGCTTTCGTGAGATGGGTTTTCCAAGTCGTGAAGGCTGTTTTCCTTTCATCAAGTCCTCCATATCGATCAACTCAGCCACGTAGTCTCCATTGTCCGAGCCCTTAGCAGCAGCCTTAAAGAACTGCTTCATGTTACCCTGCTGGTGTTTGGCATTCTTCTCACGAACCTGCTTCCTCATCCAGTCTGGAAGCTCAATGCGAGGCACCGGATTCTTCACGTTCTGGAAAGCGGCTGGAAGCGAGATAATCTTCTGCACCGTCGAAGCGAAACGCGTGCGGTAATAATCCCAGTCGAGAATGGAGCGAATGTCGAAGTCCTGGAGGTGAGGATCTCTCAACCACTTCTTCAAGAAGTGCTTCTTTACAGCATCTTCCGTTGCGAAAATGGCCGTCGGGATAGCTCGCTCTGTCACCTTTTCGCCGTAAGGACGTGCGGCAATAATCATTTTGCACGTTAAGCCTTTGTCCTTGATCATTTCTTCGCCGAGAAACTCACCCAAACGCCTGGCAGTGGTGATAGAGGTTGATTTCTGACCTTCGTACTCGTCCAGCTTGCCAGACATACTCTTGTTCTCCGTAATCAACGCCATTAACTCTTCGTCATCCATTGACTTGCCTCGAGTATCAATCACATCAAGCCAACGATTCGCGCATTTCGCAACGGATGCATAACATTCTTCTAGACTGTCACCATCGAGAAAGCACTCGAACACCTGCGACTGGAACGCTTTGATAAGCTGCAGCTCACCACGTCGCTTGAGCTCAAAGCCCTTCAACTCGGCCAGAGAGTGATCAAAGTTGAACACTGCATACCGCTTCTTCAACAGCTTTCCCTCTTCGGTAGACGCAGGGAGGACCATGGCTTTGTATGGACCATCCACCTCGAATAGAATGGAGCACTCTTTGTGCGAGTTGTATTTACCTGTTGCGGGGTCCAGCTCGTGATATTGCGGGTTAGTGAACTTTGCGTGTACATCAGCGTTTAGCATCACACACGGATATGAGATACTTCTTGAGCCACCATCCTTGAGCTTAAAGGAGAAAGTTTCGGGGAATGACTTGGGTAGAATAGCCCAAATACCATCGGTATCCAGCTCCAGCGGCCGTCCAATTTGCTCTACCAGCTCACGAGCACCAGTAATGATGTTGGAACCCGTGTGCGTCACGATACCAGCCATCTCCATTGAGTGCCAGCGAGCACCCTTACGCATCACATAACCATAGAAGGAGTTCAGGATACACTTGTGAGCCAGCTGGAGGGAGTCGTACACAAGACACTTATTCTGCGCATCAATCTTCGCCAGCAGATCGTTCGCCTCGGCGGCTTGCCCCACTTTCTTCTTCCAGACCTTTGTCAGTCCCTTGTACTCGTAACGACGATCACGGAAAGCCCGCACTGTGTTCACATAGAATGGATTCTCGCGCATGCAAACTGTGGCCGATCGCTTTTGCTCCTCAGTCACCTTAGTTTTCTTGTATACACTTGAACAGTATGACTTGAATCGCTGTTTCAGCAGCAGTTCTTGCTTGTCTTTAGGAAGCTGAGCATAAGGAACAGTAGATTGCGCGCTACGGTTGGGCACCTTGGTCATCTCTCCGTTCGCTGCACCCCCCTTCTTCTCCAAAGGAAAGTTCTCATACTCAAGCTGAGTCTTGATGGAGTAGTACTCAGGTCGCGTGGCAGGATAGAAATCACCACGCCATACCCAATCCATTTCACGCTGGCACGAAGCGTCTTTATCCTGAATAGCTGCTCGACCGCACTCAGTATTGAACGCGCAAGCGGCACAGTCAGCCTCATTCACAATAGCGCACGGCTGCAATCGGTTGGTGAGAATAATGTTCGGGTACATGGCAGCTACATCCAAGTGGTAAATCAGTGGCTCTTCCTTCCGGTTTGGCCTCTCGCGAAGTCCAACAAGGCGGTCAACAATATCCTGTTTAACTTCTTCATAGTTGGCAACACTGTCGACTGGAACATTCATCTCAACCTCCAAGGAGAACGTAAGGTCACGGTCGATATTGTCGATCAACTGCTGGAACGCACTAGGCACCAGCTGGAAGTCGTACAAGAAATCAGCGCGAAAGACTCCAGACTCCAAACACTCAACGTGTCCACCCACATAGGTCTCGCTCTCGACTAGGTGACCTTTGTAGAATTTTTCTTCGCGGGCTGAACTCTGCTTGTTTGGGCAAATAATGCTGCCTCCAAAAGCTTCAACCATTAGCAAAGCTTCGCAAAGAGTACCTGAGCCCTTTCGAAGCACATCTTCAGAGCCCAAAGGAATAATTGTGCATAGCGAGAAAACGAATAGGTGTACGTACTTATCGTACAAGTAAAACGTGGCGACGGCATCGGAAACTGAGTACGACGCCATCTTCAGTGGCTCATCACGAGCCAATGCAACCATATCTTCTGCATCCACCTCGACTGGATCGTATCCCAACTTGTATTTCGTCACGGCTTTCAAGCCCTGACTTCCCTGTGGTAGATACGAATCGCGCTTCACCCAGCAGAATGCGTCCATGTGCACACTGCAGCGTCCACGATACTCGCCACTGCGCTCATCGAGAGAAACGCCGATTTCACGCGCCATGTTGATGCCGTGAACTTGTGCACGCGCATCAATGAAGGGCCAATCGAAGAAATCACCGTTATAAGTCACGAAAATGTGCGGCTTCTCTTCAATCACGTGCTCGAAGAAGCGCTTCAGAAGCTGTTCTTCATTCTCCTCATTAAACACGATGAAAGGGCCAGGATAATCCTCCTTGGGAGTATACTCGAAGTCTTGGATCTCTTCTGACACGAACTCGCGATTCACAATCAAGTATCCCTGCTTGTCGATCATGTACGAAATCATGTAAATCTGGTCCACCTGTGCGTCCGGAAACTTCAGAGGTGCCTTGGTACACTCGATATCGAAGGCACATACCACAGGCTCAGCCTTATCCACCATATCCTTCTGTCGTCTCACATCCGAGGGCGAGTACGGCGCCGTGGGATCATAGTTCACGTGATACCACGCACCCACACGGATGTCCAGATCAATGGCAACTCGCATGGGGTACGGCACGTCATATTCTCTCAGTTCTAGTAGTGAGCTCTCGCTCTCATCTGTGCTTGTTCCTTTAGCTCCATCTGTATCCCCGCCAAAGACGAGATCATCCTCCGTCACTTGTTCTCGTGTCTGTCCCTGCATCTCATAGGCTTGTCGCGCCTGCAATCTCTCCTGGTTCCTGGCCACCAAAGGGGCAAGCTCTTTCTTCACGGTCATCAAATCCGTGACCGTGGCGAAGCTCAGCTTGACGTACAAGGCCTTCTTGCCGTTAAGATGGTCAGCCATGTCAAGATCCTCACGGAAAACCCTCTCCGCTTTGGCCACGAGGCCTTCAAACTGCCTCAGACAGTATGCAATGACTTCCTGTGACCTGTTGGCTTCGGGACGAACGTAGAAGTAAGGCTGATAGATGATGCGGGTCTTGAAGGCCTTACCGTCCTGCTCTAGGAAGTACAATTCGAGACCGCTGACCTCGTTCTTGCCCTCCACCGGATCGGGCAGCGTACACGCACGTAGATTGAGCAGCCAACCAAGCTTAGCGTGGTCTTCTCCGTCCATTGTAGCGTCTGACTGCTCCTTCCTGCCCTCTCCTTCTTGTTCTAATAACTCCGGGAGGAGATAGAAGCCGAATTTCTTGTCGAGTTCGTCACCTTTTTTGAGGGCGTACTGTTTGGCTTCCGTCATGCCGCGGCCCGGTCGGTTGCGCTGGGCATTGGCGCGTGCACCCTGAGAGTTACGTGCCCAAGCTGAACCTCCACCGCGACTGTAAGGGTTGCGGGTGGCGTTGCCGCCGCCATATTGCGTCTTACCGCGCTCTGCCATGAGGATGAAGGCGCTTGGTGGCGGTGTCCGCGCGGAATTAGAAGAATGAAGGTCACTAAAAAAAGCGCGGGAAGCAATATGCTTTTGGAAAGGTAATTTGATGAAATATTGTGGGTCATTTCTTAATGGAGGTGTTGCAATTGTTATTCGGGAGGAAGATTTCGCGCGCTTTTTTTTTAGGAATTGAATGAATCCACTTTGGGAGAATGTTAGCGGTTTATATTACTTTTCATCCTACGGCTATTAGCAGCTACGGAGGTCAAATCAAAAGAAGAGCTCTGGCCAGAGATCCGAAAACGAGATCACTGACGACTTACTTGGTCAGCTTGCGCTTCTTGGAGGGCTCCTCCACGGTCTCGAAGTACTTGAGCGAGTCCTTTGGGTTGGCAGTCATGCCCTTGGCGCCCTTCTTCCAGTTGGCGGGGCACACGTCGCCGTGTTCCTCGTGGAACTGGAAGGCCTCAATCAAACGCAGCACCTCGTCCACGTTACGGCCGATGGGCAGGTCGTTGATGGTGATCTGGCGCAGCACACCCTCCTTGTCGATGATGAAAAGACCGCGGAAAGCCACGCCCTCGTCGTCACCTTCCGACACGAGCACCTCGTACTTGGAGCACAAGTCCTTTTTGACGTCAGCAATAAGCGGGATGTTCATGTCACCCAGGCCACCCTTCTTGCGTGGCGTGTTGATCCACGCCAGGTGCGTGAATTTGGAGTCGATGGAGCAGCCGATCACCTGCGTGTTGAGCTTCTTGAACTCGTCGGCGCGGTCGCTAAAGGCGCAGATCTCCGTGGGGCACACGAACGTGAAGTCCATGGGGTAGAAGAAGAGCACAACGTACTGGCCCTTGTAGTCCGACAGCGAGATCTTCTTGAATTCGCCGTTAACCACAGCGTCGGCCGTGAACTCCGGGGCGGGCTTGCGGATCGTGAGGACCATCGATGAGGAGGAGAGTTTCGCGTTTGAAGGCAGATCTTGAACTGATGGATCCGAACCGTGCGGCACTGGACCGGCTCGGTAGCAAATTCGGTAACGAATTCGAGAGGGGAATGCTGTCCGACGTCGGACACACAATTATTACGACACTTTATGTGGTTCAGTGACTCGTTAAGGTACGCCATGTGGTAAATACGAATCGTACTTAGTCGAGTTGTCTCGAGAGAAACATCCATCGACAAAAGGAGCCAAGTCATAAGGACACCTGACGCCGGCATGTCGTTCAGCAGCTTCTACTCGGTGGTGAACGCCATCAAAGACAAGTCGGCGGAGGCCATGACGACGCTGAGCTCCGACTTACAGGACTTCAAAGCCATCGTTCAGGAGGACGTAGCCGAACTGAGTAAGAACGTGCGTCAGAACATGCAGGAAGGACGGCTCAGCGTCGACCGGAATGACGAGGAGGAGGACGAGGAGTCCAAGCAGGACCAGGACGATGAGAAACAGGACAAACCTAAAGATCCCACGCAGTCTGCAACAGAGGAGAAGGTTGAGGACGAAGACCCGCTGACGTCGCTCAAGAACTCGATCTTCTCCTTCGACATGACCAGTTCACTGAACTCAGTGGGCAGCTCTGTTCAAGGTTCACTTTCTTCAGTACAGGGATCACTGTCCTCAGTGGGCACTAAGTTGACGTCGCTAGACGTCGGCTCCAGTCTCGGTTCCCTCGAAGCCATGGGCTCCAAGCTTCTCAACTCTGCAGACGAGTTCCTGGGTACGCTGGCAGGAGATGCCGCGTATGAGAACGACGAGGAGCTTAGTGAAAGCGAGCTTAGTGCCAGACGGTTCCGACTGCTAGCACTACAGGAGGACTCGGAGACATACGTCGAGCCGCCGCTGGACGTCGAGACCTTTGAAAAGTGGAAACTCACTACGTCTGCTGAGGAGCTGGAAGAGATTCAGAAGGAGGTATTGGAGAACTACCCGACGGTTGGAGCAAAGTTCACAGAGCTGGTACCGTCCGTGGTAGAGGCTGACGTGTTCTGGGCGCACTACATCTACAAGGCTTCGCTGCTGGCGGCGCAAGAGCAGCGCGGTGCCGACCTGCTTGAACATGGTACGAAGATGAAATGGAATGTGGTCCTTAGAGACTTGTATAGTGACTGACATCGTTATCTTTTTTTTATGCCAGCTTTGAACGATGACGAGGAAGAGATTGGCTGGGACGTGGACTCGCCCAAGGCCAAGGACGACGAGGGCAAGCCTATTTTCCCTGATGACGAGTCGAAGGAGGAGGAAGGCAAGGCGCCAGCTCCTGTTACTGCCACGAACGGCCCGACATCATCCAGCGATGGTGAAAGCTGGATCGAACTGGACGAGCGGAAGGAGTCGAACTCGCCGGGTGCGTCGTCGAGTCTTAAGGAGCCAACGACTGCCCTGACCGACTTGAAACTAGATGAAGGAGATGAAGCTGCCGAGGAGGACTCGCTGGACTGGGGTGACGATGACGATCTGTCAGTGCCGGAGGCGACTACTGCTGCTACGTCAGATGCCAAGGCCCCCGAGGCTACCCCAGCAACCCACGAGGATGCCAACAAGCGCGGGGAAGACTGGGGCGAGTGGGACTAAGTTAAGTAGCTGTCCGCACATACTTCATCGATCCTACCAACACTTTTTTACTACGCTGTCGCGGCAGCTTCTATATGCTTATTGAGCTTCATGCTTCAAATCTTTGAACTATTGCTTGCGTTTGTCATTTCTGCATTGGCAATGTCCTGCGCTCTCCGCAAGTGTTAGCTTAGAATGTCAGCGTGATGAAGTCGACGCCTAAGACTATTGCTGAACCCTTTCAAGCCCAACATTTTTTGTCCTGAAAAAAAAAAGGACCAAACGTCGCTTAAGTACGATGGAGTTTGGCCAATTTTGTCCTTATAGGGCAAAAATAAACTTGAAAGTTTGTAAAGAGGCTCTTCGATACAGCTTAAGTGCGATGTGTCAGGCAAAAACCTCAATTAAACTTGGGTTCATTAAGTGGCATTTCACCTTGGAAGCCTCCACAGTAACTCTGTTTGACAGAAATAGCTGTTATGTAGGACAAAACTCTCGTATGTTTTGTTACTAGTGACAAATTTTGCAATACATTTTCGCCCTGTTGGACAACAGTAGACACTACGAAAACTATACCACGTACAGAACCCTTTAAGTAGATATATGACCATGGTACATAACTCTCGATAATGATGCCAAGCCAAGGCTTTAACTATTGGTCCTATTTTATTTTTTTTTAAGGTGTTTGGGGTGGCGCCTTTTTGTTTTTGTTTTTGAAGACAATGGACTCAGTTTGGACAACAGGGCCTAATGTGACCTCGTAATAAGTAGACACAAATCTTGTTTTAATAACTGAATCAAGCTTACTTAAGTAAACCCACCAAACAATCAACGGCAGGGTTGTAACAGAATGAACCTTATTTGACTCAAAATCTGCATCTACCGTAGCAGCTTGAGCAAAAGCCGCCATTTGCCTGCGAGAAGGCGTCCCACAAGGGACGCCGGCACTTTCTGGCTTGTTGACCTGGCACCATCGAATTCCCACGTCGCTCGCCGGAAGCTTTTTCTGCGTTGTTAGTCATTCCAGAATTTGTGTCGAGTAAGTCTCGCCAAGATGAACATCTCGGACTTGTTGTGTTCACCCGCCGCCCCGCGTGTCAAGATGAACATCTCGGACATATTGTGCTCGCCAGTCGAAACACAAGTCACACCTATATCGGTAACTCCGCAAACTGCAACGTGTGAGCCGCCCAAACGCCCTCGAGCTCAGTCCAAGAAGCGACAGAACAAGTTCGTGCCCGATGACCAACGTAAACGTCCGTACCGAATGAGTGTGACTCAGAAGAAATGTCGTCAAGAGTTTCGAGATCACGAGTCCAAGGTGTTCAACCTGACGCTTGACATCAACGATCTCAAGCAGCAAGTGCAGTATCTACTCGAGTGTCGGGACCTGCAGGTCACGTGTCTGTTACAAACCCGTCAACGGCTGGAGGCTGCAGTCTTGGGGACGGTAGATAGAATCCTGTTCGGTGGGAGTGATCGCCCCCGATCGGGTGACGAAGGCTGCAGCTTCTCGAGGATGTTCATGGACCAGTCAGACGGATCAACGCCCCCAAATGGGGTCTACGAGTTCTGTCTGCAGCTCGACAAGCCCAATTTCAATCATCGCTCGTGCTCTATCGCGACGACGCAAGTGTTGTCGGTTGTAGAGGAAGATCCCGAGGGTGACAACGAAGATGCGGCGGAAGTTCGCAAGATCTGCGGTGACCCCGGAGGCTGCTTGGTGGAGGCAGTTGGGGAGTTTACGGGTCGATTCACACGCCAGATCATCGTCTCCATGTTCCCTCACGTCCTCAGCGACGAAATGATGGTGGCACAGATCATTGGACTTAGCATCACGTGCCCTGCACGGCTGCTGCTGTATTTCAATGCGCACAAGACGATCGTGCGGCAAGTAGCCCAAGCTGACGTGTTTGCCGCGCTCGCGGCATTGCAGCAGGCCAAGCCACAAGAATTTGCTGCGATCATGGGCACTGCTGCTGCGTAAGAAGAATGTGAACGACACGTTTGGTCCAAAAATGGAACGGCGAGCAGGGAGCCTCAAAGTAGTTGAAAGTTTGATCAGAGAGTACAAAAGTAAAAGCTTTTTGAGTGTTTGAGGTGTTTGTGTTGTACTCTCAACATTGGGGAAAGGTTGTAAACACAGAGATAATGGTGCTGAACAGCGCGCATGTCGACACTAAATAGTTCGGCTCGACATAAATTCACATATCCGGACTTCAACATGACCATCACTCTTGATAGCTCAAGTTGCCCTTACAAGCCAAAGCATTGCCAAATCACTGTGGGTAAACCGAGATGGTAAGGCAGAATTCTCACTCATCACTTTTCCGCATTCTCGAAGAGTACGCTGCGGCCTTACAGTAAGTTTACTTCGATTTTTAGCAAAAAAAAAAGTTGACTATAGGACACCATTATAGTGGACACTATCATAGTGTGACTCGCTTTTGTGCCCCAGCAACGATAATTCCCTCGAATTGAAGGTTGTAGCGAGACTGTTGTTTCGAATAGCAGTAGCTTGTTTTCTTTCGCATTATTTCACGGTGTAGAGGCAACACGTTCGTCTATACCTTATTCATTCAAGTCGCGTAAGATACATAACTTGGTTGATTAGCGCATTCACGCTCCTATAAGTCATCAAAAAGAGAGCGAACGCCAGCAACACCATTTGATCGGACTTGATGATGACCCCGCCTCTTATGTCGTGGAGATATTTCCAATTTTGCAGCGCAATTGGCGACAGTTTTGTGCGACTTCCAGCGTCGTCTCCAAGTGGCAAATTCACGGCGACATTCCTCAACAAATCGTTCGTCTTCCATAGCCACGTACACAGCGGAAGGCGCACAGATCTCATGTTGAAGTGTCTCGAAGCAGTTCTTGTAGCCTCCGTGAATTAGATACAACTCCGGGTAGTATAGTTCGGGGTAACTATCAGCATGCAGTCTTCGGTCCACATTGCGTACATGACGCAGCATCTTCGGTGCTCGGTTAGCCGAGAACTCACAGAAGAAAATAAGCGCCGTACGTGTGGTGTGCTCGAATGTCGTCGGTTGGAAAAACTGCATCTCCATATTTTCGGGATCACACAGCGAGCTGGCACCTTTCAAGCTCCCGCCTTCAAACTCAAACGGGAATCTACAATCCAACAGCTTAAATCCAGCCAATTGCTCCTTGAACTCCCCTCTTAGAATTCTAGCCACAGTCTCGGGTGTTATCACGTTTAAGTCTGGGTGCTTGCTTGAATACACCGTCGGTAGAGTCGGTTCCGGTGGTGGTGCAGATGCAGTTTTGATACTGATTAGCTGTTCCGATGCATGATGGCGAAGTAGCCTTGGCGGAAAAACTGGAGCAGGAGATAAGCTGCTCGAGGACATTTCGGAGTAGCTGGATACCGCTCGCTTAAGCACAAGCTGCTTCGATTCAACTGCTATCTTTGACTTCTTCTTGTGAATTATCTGTTGTGTCAATGTCGATCTCGGGGACAGCTCCATTTCTTCTGCACCCTGTGCTGCACGCTTGCGGCCTTGTAGCTGTTCGTCACTTGCCATATTTTGTGCCACATAATCTGTTAGTTTTGGTTCATCTGCCACATGTTGTGTATTTTCGGCGTCGAAAATAACCCGTCGTCGGCTTGAATGCGGCACGTCGGCTCGACGTTCCGGTAGTCGCCGCGACCTGTTGCCGACATGTTTCGTGGGTCTCTCTGAGTTTTGCGTTGTGTTTGGCCGCGTAGAGGACGAGCACGGCGGAGTAGATAGCTGTAGTTGCGAGGACAGTAGTGGTGTCAAATGGGAGCGGCGTGGCTGCTCTGACAGGTCACAGTCGCCCGCCATTTTTAGTTTTCATACAGTACATTTTTTGGCGGGAAAACCTACGGACCACATAAATTTGTGTAACCACATGATAGAGCAACTGAAGCAACTTCAACAGTTCTCAATGCATTCTCAACAACTTCATATCGCATTGCCTTTCATCACAACAAGAGCTACGTGTATATTTTGATATATCTTCTTTGCAATCGACGGTTTGTTACTCGCTAATCCAAGAAATATTTGTACAAGTATTCCTCGTCAGTTTTGTCTGCTGCTCTGGTGGCTACTGCGCACTTGTCGGCTAGCATCGATATTTCTTCGGAGATATTACGCGCAGAACCACAATAGGTGACGAGACAGCGAGTCGGAATAGCATGTAGAAGCGTTTGAATGGGCTTGGTACATTCTGGAGACCGACAGAAGACAAGGAAATCGCGTTCGGGGAAGTCGAGTACGTCGAAGAGCGAGCTAACGCGAACTCTTCTGCGTGATTTATTCACCGAACAGGAGCTGAAGAGCCTTCCGTTGTCGAGCGTGTTCTTAACGAGGTGACTCACGACTGGTGAGCAGAGTTCAATGGCGAATCCTGTCCGAGCGAAGAGATATAGCAGCAGCAGAATTGTGGCAGCAGATGTGAAGACGAAGTGATGCATCATTGAGCTGAAGCGCTTTGGACTCTTGTCGTTGATGTCCTAAAAGGAAAATGAACGAGCTCTCGTCACGTTAATGTTAACTATTGAAATAGCGATTCTAGTTCAAGCAGCGTGAGAAAGAGCGCAAGCGGGAGGGCCTTCCCTCCCTGTGATGATTAGGATCACGCGACGCAAATATCTAGCGTCGAGTCATCGTGTGGATACTGGATACAGTACACAAACATGAGGAAAAAAAATATTTCTCTTATTGATGCTGTAGATTTTCCTCATCGTAAGGCACATGAACAAATATCTTCTATTACTTTACATGCTTACAAGCGATGACCTCAGAGTCCCAGTATCTCTCGTTTGGCGAGTTCTCGAGTAATGTATTGCGCCAGTAATTGAGATGGATATTCCACCAGGTGGTACGACACCGTCGCTACTAGCACCGTGAGGCCGTAGGTAGAGAACATTCGGTCGTAGTAACTGGACTGGTTACTCACTGTGTCGGTGTAGATGACGAACCCATGGAGCAGGTAGATCGAGAAGCTCACCTTACCGCAGTGCCGTAGCGCGTTACATTCCAAAAACGTAGACAGAGACGACGGCAGAATCATTTCAATCACGACTACAATAGTCAAGAGCACGCTGATGAACGGAAAGCCTGGCGTCTGGGGTGCAATGTTGGCATATATCCAGTTGAAGAAGAGCCCTTGAAAGCTCAGACTCAGCAGCAATGCTAGTGCAGTACATTCGAGTGTACGAATCGCATAGATAACAACAGGTCGAGGCCTCACATTGTTCATCTTCATCCACGTGTCCAATTTGACGAAGATGACCGCAGCCATTGACCCAGCGAGAAACGTTGGAGCGTGAGCCGACAATCCCATGTGACTCCAGCGAAACGTATTCCAGCCCTCATAAGCTACCCAACAGTAGGCCGGGATGAACGGGACCCACCAATAATTTCGTAGTTTCAACACAGCTAACACGAAGATGGGGATGAAGAAATAATACGAGATCTCTAACGGTAGCGTCCAGAACACGAAGAAACGCTGATCAAAATCGAACGTGAGCACCTTGACAAGGCTGAAATCCTTTGGTTTCTCGATGCGGTAAAGCCCACGTTTAACGTCATCGGGAAGTATCCACAACACAATGGCTACCAACGCGAATAATGGGTATATACGAAAGAATCGCCTGGAAAAATAGTCGACCAGAGTAAACGCCCACTTCCGATAAGTAGCACTGCGTGCCAGCAGCTTCATGCTCTTCTTCATGAACAACATTGTTAATAAAAACGACGACAGCACGAAGAACGCGTCGACAGCGCAAGCTCCCAGGTTGAGGTCCTGCATGTATTCATGCGAGTGTTGAGTCACGACCAAAAGCGCTGCTAGTCCTCGTACGCCGTCAAGAAACAGGATCCTGGTTGGTGCCGCCGCAGTCTTCGATGCCTTCTCCACGCTCACCGCTGAGCGAAGCTTCACATCCATGGGGTCTTCTGGAATATCTTGCACTAGCAGCGTGACCTTTTCTCCACTAACATCATTGGCACTCCCCCCTGATCGAATCATGGCAGTTCTCGCTGGACTGTTGCAAGCATCGAATGCGTGCTTTCGTCATCTGGCACTCTGAGGCTGGGAGCCTACGATTGGCTGCAATTCAAAGGCAGCGCGAAGCCTACGATTTGTGTATTACACTGACACGAGCGATCTGCTTGCGTGTTACTGATGCATATGCTGGAGTGCTAACACACGTGCGACTGTACGAGAAGAATGAAAAAGTGGCATCAAATGTCAATTCCTTAGATCTAATTTCGAGACCAGATTCCATGAAATTATAAAAAATAGAAACTCTAAAAACCAAAATCAATTTGTCCAAATTATTTGTAATCAATAGATTTTTAACACGCATTGCCTGTAACAGTAAGCCACGCTGCCACACGATTCATCTCGTCGATCCAAAGCACAAATATCTTGTTACAAATACTGGTATCTTGTTATTACATGTTTAACATCAGTTCAAAATAATATGATACGTTACTGTCAACGAAAAAGCACGTAACACTTGCTACCTTGTACACGTAATAGGTTTTCAAATGGCAAGAAACAAACCAGACTCGAACACGGTCCTTTATGGAAATGTTGGCCCAAACACATTCCATCCTGATAAACTCCCCTGCACGATGAAGTAAAAAAGTACATTTTTCGACCGTCTACACCATGATAACACAATGCGAGTTCACATAGATCTCGATGAGCCGTTTCGGTTTGAGATCAAGAGATCTATCGTTGACAATATCATCGGGGGTTTGCTCATCAATCTTGACGATATGAAAGAGGAGGAAGTGACACGTACAAAAGCTCTTAGTATGTTCAGGACAAGTGATAACGAACTGGTACATCACGTGGATATTCAATCTTCTTGTTGGCTACATCAGTAATGGGGCTTCTTTTCGCGCTGCAGCCGCACATGTTCGCACAACCAAACAAGTGATGAAAGTTAGATACCTGACTGGAACATCCGACAATTTTTGTGCAATATATATTCGTGAAGTGTGTCTCTACATCTTTCACTAACACAGCCTCGGTTTTTTTTTTCAATCATCGGCTGGGAATGGGATGAATATTGTCAATCCATAACCGCCCTAGACGGAATTCTACACGCGAAGCAAACCCGACGAGTGTCGACACTTGACATTAGTTAAAGGCAAGATTGTCTAGGGTAATATGGATACATTCATTTATTAATATACTTACTTATTCTAAAGACAACGATGTCCCTCTCTATCCCTTATTTACTTGCCTACTGGTCTCTCTAATAAGCTAATAGGGGAAACTGAAAAGTATTCTCAAATAATGAGGCTTGACAGTACATACTCCATTCATCTGTGCATCTCGGTGAAGATAATTTGGAGCTAGTGAGCCGGGGTGGTGTCGTATGTTCATCCGTTCCAGCTCCAGAAGCTGAAGCTATTAATCCACTGTTCTTGATAAACTTCTTCAGTAAGTAAGATAAAAAAAATTATGAAGGCAAGGACTTGTCAGAGCTCGACCCCGTCACTAGTCGAAGTAGACACAGCCAGCACAATAGTGTTAGAATATGCAATCAACAGTGTTAAGTATCAAGTCTAAGAGGGCAACAATCAGGGGGCGCTTAATAGCGCAGTGATCTAACGGTGCGACTGTGTAGGTAATTGTGAGTTCGAGCCCCGATGGTGCCTCCCTTTTCCAACAAATAGGATGCTAAAAGCTAACACCTCTTTGTTGCCGTTTTATCTTGAGTGTAATGGTGTCGGATACGCGTGCAAAGATCGTGAACAAAATGCACCGGGACATATGATGAGGCGGGCGATCTCTTGTAGATGATTCTACGTGCTAAGTGTTCCAGCTCACCGCGGATCGGTCATCTCGCTCATTTCTCCTTTTCTGCTGAAGCTATCTTGGGCAAAAACCTAGTGATGATTTACCTTGGTGCGATATTGTTACTGGGGATCTCCATATCGTCGGTGCTGGCTGTGATGGAGTGTCCACCAAGTGTAAGCAATCCGATCGAAGCAGCGCTCGACAACGATCAGATCTTCAGCGCCTGTGCCTCTGGCATCCAGGGAGCTCAAGTCAAGACACTATTTGACGTGCTCAACTTCTCCGATCGCGATTTCCTTGCTTTCTGCCGCTCTTCTCGCTGCATCAAGCCCGTGGCGATGGTGCTAGAATCCATACCGACTGACTGCCTCATCACCTACCATGGCTCGGCACGCAACCTGTCCCAAGAGATTTCGACGTTGTATCACCACTGCGCGCAAGTTGTTGGAAGTGCAGACAAAACCGACGAGGACTACGTGTACAGATACTTTTTAGATTAGTTTTGTTAGAAGGTGACAAGATGCCTTGAATTTTTTTAACAGCTCAAACGAAATTCTTCCAAAACCTCATGCCTTCCACTAGGTGTGCGATTTGAATGACATCGATCATTGTATGTGGCTGTCATACATTATTTATTATCAAGTCACCACTTACTCCAGGCACTGGCAGGCTTGTGAGTGTTCTAAAAACTGATTGAAATGCTGATGGACTTTCCTAGCCTGATATCGTTTTGGTGCGGCACAGAGGTGATATTGCTCTTAAAATATTGCCGGGTTATCCTCAAGGCACCTTCAAGAAGGATATTGATTGAGCAGACGAGATTACCAGCTCGGAGCCCAAACTTTGGCAGTGGTAATCTTGAATGGTAAGCCATAGCGGCTGGTGCTGGATTTTGGAATTGGGTATCAGATTCTGGGTATAGGTATAACGGGAGTGATGACTGGACGTTGGAATCGCGTCTAGTGATCTGAAGTTCGAGCTGGTCTTTCGGACAGCAAACGACCACCGTGGGCCCACGGTCCATTGGATCAGGGGCCATGAGGCGGGCTGGTCTTTGTTTTTCTCTTCGCTGCGCTAACTTTTCGCCAAGTGCCCTAGAGACACCCGCAGTTGATAGCCTCATTGTTCTTTTCTCGACATCTTGAGCAGAATTCTCCGAGTGGCCAGGATGCGCAGTTTCATTACCGCCTCGACTTTTTTCCTGCTGTTTCAACATAGTATCTCCACTCCATCCATACTCGCTACAACAGAATGCTCTTTGGATGTAAGCTACCCCATCAAGACCATCCTCGACGACGGTAATCTCTTTGGCACCTGCGCCGTGGAGTTTTCGGGTGTTCACATCGACATTCGGTCACTCTTCGACGTACTCAGCTTCTCTAAACGCGATTTCCTCCGCTTCTGCCGCGCACCGAGCTGCATTAAACCCGTGAAGTCGCTGCTGCAAACCATCCCGTCGGACTGCCTCATCGTCTACCACGGAACAGCTCGCAATTTATCCGAGGAAGTCTCGGCACTCTACCACCAGTGTGCCCAAGTCGTTGGAACTGCGGACAAGACAGACGAAGACTACGTCTACAGATACTTCCTGGACTAGCATCATAGTGCCAGTTCCCCTTCGACATTAGTATTTGCCTATATTCTTCAATCCACAACATACATATATATCAACATGACCATCACTCCAAATTGAAGTGAGATGAGACACGCGTCGGAAAGCCCGCACTCACTTCATTCCGCATTTTGCCTCGCAGGCCGCAAGACCCGCAGGAAACACTCAAGCCAAATATGAACTGGATGACGAGCGGCAAACACCGCGCGCTGTACTCGCAGCGCGGGCGACGTCGACAAATGCATTTCCCGTCTCAAGTCCAGCGCCAGCGCGTCAAACCCACGAGTCCTTCACGAAGCTCCGAGCCAAGAGCACGGGACTCAGCGAAGCCCTGGTACATTGTGTCTATTGGAGACGACGACGAGTCTCAAGGTCCTCATCCTCAGCTGCAGAGAATGTGTTCGTTATATACTGACGGATTGCATGTTGTAGATATCCGCGTCCTGGAGCTGGAGCGGAAGGGAGCCATCAGTGCCACTGAGAGTGAAGCTGAAGAGAAAGCTAGGAAGATTTCACGTGTCGGTGAGCGTGGCGACGCTAGGGCACCATCGGGTCCGAGCCAGAAGAGGGGCCGCGAGCAAGAGCAACGTGACCAAGGCGGGAGAAGTGACAACAGATGCATCTTCACTCCAGTGAAGAAGGCGAGAAAGTACGAGCAACCATCGCGTCCAGCTCAGCTAGTGAAGAATGCTCGGGAGAAACGACCCCCATCGTCAATTGCTTCAGGCGTTGAAATGCTCTTTTTCAAGTGAGACGTGTGTTTGCGGGGTGTTTCGGAAGAATGCCGTTGCTAACTCTGTTTCTACACATGTGTTGCAGTGATGGAGAAGAGCTACCACACAAGAACCGAGCTCAATCACGAAAGCGGGTTGCTTATGAGCCAGTTCTATATGACACACACAGCAGAAAATTTCCACAGCGCATTGGTGACGCTAGGGATGAAAAAGAGCTCCAGGTAAACGTATGCGGTATTTGAGTATTTGATCTCCAGTGCTGACGATAGAAAGTTGGACACATAGCTACAGCATCCACGTCGTATTTTTCAAGATGGAAATTTTGACAGTCACTGTGGAGAATTGGAGGATCAACAGCAGGCATCTGACAGCGATAATACGAGTTCTCATGGCCTTCAAGCGTTTACGGACAGTGTGAGTGAGGCTGATCAACGAGATATTCAACTCTGGAAAGTCAACTCCCGTTCGTGCGCTGGTTCTAGTCCCGATATGGTGTTGTCGCTTCAATTTGTTATCATCACAACTAGAAATTTCTGACATTGTTGTACTCCTTGATAGGCATTTTCTCGTCCCGATACCGCGTCGTTCGAACACCCCAGGGACCCGTAAGACTGGATTGCCCGCTGAAACCAAGCTAGGGACTAATCTTCTCGTTGTACTCAAGTATCCACGAAACCTTTCTTGCGACGCCGCCTCCCAGTCCATTTGTAGCTTCGCCGCTGTCATTTAAAATGAGCCGAGCGGAAGGTCTCTGTTCCTGGTTGCATAACAGTTCCTGGACTCATTTTTCCCCTTGGTTCGCTTCAGTTCTACAATCTCAGCCCTCTGCCAGATTTTCCTGCACGGTAGGTTGCTCTCGGAGACATGGTTATCGAAGATTTATCCGTTTATGGTCTGTTTTCTTTTTCAGACACACAATCAGATGAGCTTCCCACCGAGTCCGCGGTCGTCGCCATCGCCATCGCCATCATCGTCAACATCAACATCCTCACAGGGTAGCATCGTGCTGGGCCGCCCACCATTAGGCTGGCAAAAGAACTTGCTGTTGGCATTAGAGGAGAATTCGAGGGACAGACCAGAATATCATTTTGGTAAACCAGCTTCATCTCGTGTCAACGATTCTCCAATGAATCTTGCTGACAGCAAAGTGGAGAATGGTTCGTACATCGCCAAGTTATTAGCAATGTGTCATAACACAACTGACGCTCTTCGCTACGTCTGTAGTTCGACTGGACTCGCCCCCTTCACCTAACAGTTCGAGAGGGAGCGATTCGCCCACTTCAATCACCGACGCAATCATTCCAGTCGATGCGAAAGAGCGCATTATGGCGTCTACAGCTTCACAACACGTCCCTGAGCTTTCGAGGAGCTGGTACCCACGACCAATAACGACGAGTACGCATGAGGAGTTAACACAAGCTTCTCTCTGCTCCGTCACTTCTAACATCTTGGAATTATGCCTTGTTGCTAGAATCTGGCAATACGAACGGTACAAACACAGTTGTCAGTGGGAAAAGCGCGGTATTCCAGCAGTCATGGGTCATGTCTTCACGCACCAAGATAATTCTGGACGCAGTCTCGCCATCGAAAGCGATCTCCATGGAAAAGGCAATCCAAAAGAGCGAAACAAAGCAAATGGAAATGGAGAGTGTCGCAATCTACATGTACACGCTGGTGCAGTGTTACAAAATCGACGAGAAACTTCGGTTTGTGAACTTTTACGGTATCATCCAGCGACCTGCTTCTGAAAACCATACTTACTACATTGTGATCAGTACTGACAATGGCAGCTCACCGATAGCTGGTCTCGCTCAACTACCATCCGAAGATCCTTCCACGCCCACTACCACAGCGTTGACGAAGCAGCAAACGGCCAGTCAACGTGAAATTATCTTTTCACCGAAGCGCGCTCGTTAACGAATCACATTTTTCGTGGAACTCCACGAACCGATCCGTGACTAAACTTTTTCCTCCGAGTAGATTTTGCCCAGCGCTTTCTTGTTCACCTTGCCCATCGCGTTCTTAGGAATCTCTTCAACGAAGAAGTACTTCCGCGGCACTCGGTAGCTCGCAAGGTGCTCCTTCGCGAATTCCACCAGAGGCGGCGAAAAGGTTTCCGGAACAATCTTATCGGCTTTAACGTTGGAGCGAATGACAGCAGCCACAATCTGCCCCCAAGTTTCGTCTGGAAGTCCGAAGACAGCGCATTCGAGCACCTGAGTATGCGTCAGCAATACGCGTTCGACGTCCAGAGCTGATACCTTGTACCCTGCCGTTTTAAGGATATCAGCGCTCGCTCGTCCACGGATGCGGAAGCTTTTGAGCTCATTACTGTACTGGACAATATCGCCCGTCTTGAACCACCCGTCGGCATCAAACTCTTTGGCCGTAGCTTCAGGCTTCCTCCAGTACTCCCGGAAGACCGACGGTCCCTTGACACGCAGCTCGCCTTCTTTTTCCTCGCTAAGTGGGATTTCAGTTTCCGTATCGGGGTCCACAACGCGAACGGAAACACTCGGGAATGGGTTCCCAACGTATCCCAAGTGCCGATCACCGTGCAGCGGATTCGTCAGCACCATTCCCAACTCAGTCATGCCATAGCGTTCAAGCAGACGCAGTCCCGTCAGGCTCTCCCAGCGGTTCAAGATAGACACAGGACATGCCATTGACCCACTGATAGCCACACGCAGACCGCGTGCGCCCTTCAGCGCGTTCTGAACCTTCGGATCATCTTGCGGCTGCTTCTCCAAGTCTTCCAGCAGCTTCATGTACACTGTCGGTACAGCCATCAACATGGACACCGGACGTGTTGTGCTCGCAGCTTCACCCAGTTTCGACCAGATCAGAGATGGCTTTGCGAACGGCAAGAACTCCACTGAGCCGCCAGCGTACATCACACACAGCATGTTGTTGAGGATGCCGTGCACGTGATGGAGAGGCAGGAAGTGGATCAAGTGATCGTTGCTGGTCATTTCCCAAGCCGTCACCAAGTCACTAATCTGCGCCGTCAGCGCCGCATGAGTGGTCACCACACCCTTAGGACGTCCAGTCGTGCCGCTCGTGTAGATCATATACGCCCCAGCCTTACTGTAGTCCGTCGAGTTCAGCCAGTTCTGCACTTGTTTGATCTGCTCACTCGAGAGTTCCTTGTCGTCGCCTCCCTTGACATCATCAGGTCTTACAAGCACCTCGACGTTCAGTCTCGCTGGTAGTCCAGTCACATACTCCTTCAGCTTCGAGTCAGGCGTCATGAATGATTCGTTAACAACCAGTAGGGTCGCCCCCGAGTCCGAGACAATGTAGTCCATCTCATCTGCCGGATGCGCTGGATGTAGGGGCACCGCAATGCCCCCCGCAAGCCAAATACCCCACTGGATAACCAGATACGACGCTCCACGGGCTCCAAGCAGTGCGACTCGAGGCTGTTCTTCGTCTTTCGAAAGCTTCTCTTGTAGAGCGTCACGCAGCTCGAAAGCCCGACGCAGCAATGCTGCATACGTCCACTCCAGAGACTCGTCACCCGTTGATACCACAGCCACAGAGCTCTGATGCTCCAGAAGCTTCTCGAAGATATGCGGAGCGATCAGCTCCGCGGGGCGGGAGATAGACGTCGTCATGGTTATTGGATCTTTGAGGTCGATGCAGCAGAATCTAAAGTGAGCTTCAAGTAGGGCATATTCAAACCGCACGTCAACTTGTATGTCGTTGATCTGAAATCTGAGAAAGGATTCTTTTAAACCAATCATATTCTTCAAAGTATGAGAAAATTCATCTATTCACCAATCACAATCGAATAATGGTCTCACGATTGGCGAAAATGACAGCTACATGTAAGCTTTGGTGCTTGGTCTCAGGATTACCTTCAACTTGCACTGCCCACGATCAAAAGTCTGCAATGGAGTGAGCCCCAACGCTTGGCTCCATGCATGAAGACCATCCAGGATCACAATGCTTTCAACCAATTGGCCAATAATCGACTTTGAGTCGGACGAAACTCGCCATCTTCGCTTGATGGAGCCAAAGGCATGCACAACATGCCATGTTGTGCAACACGTCCAGTCCATGACACGCTGCAGCCCTCAGCGCAACGCCATTCCCTTCCTCGCTGTCCAAGACATACAAGACCATGGACCCGTTCCTCCAGGCTGCGATTGACGAGGCCAAGCTGGGACTGAGTGAGGGTGGCATCCCCATTGGCTCCGTACTCGTGATCGATGGCAAGATCGTTGCGCGAGGTCACAACCGCCGCGTACAGCGTGGTAGTGCCGTGCTACACGCCGAGATGGATTGCCTCGAGAACGCTGGACGCCTCAGCTCCGCCGACTACGCGCGTGCCACACTCTACTCCACGCTGAGTCCGTGCGATATGTGCAGCGGCGCCGTGCTGCTCTACAAGATCCCGACAGTCATCGTAGGCGAGAACAAGACTTTCCAGGGCCCTGAAGCGTACGTACGCTCGCGAGGCGTGGACGTCAAGCTGCTACAGGACAAAACGTGCATCAAACTCATGGAGGACTTTATCCGCGACAAGCCGCAGCTCTGGAACGAGGACATCGGTGTCTAAAGCTGTCCACGTAGGTGTAAGACAGTGTCATTAACCATAGGACCCTTTTTCGCACAAATATGAGCGACTGGTTGCTAGCTATTCATTGTGGTGCTGGTCGCTACGGCGCCTCCAATGAGGCTGCGTATCTAGCACTGCTTCAATCTGCTCTTGAGAGTGCTCACCAAGTTATTGCACGTTCTCGTTCTCCTACTGCGGCGCAAATCGCTGCGCACTTGCTGCAGGCTTTTGAGCACAGTCCGCTCACGAATGCTGGTCTTGGGGCGAACTTGACGGAACAGGGGCGAGTGGAGTGTGAAGCCAGCGTCGTGTGCGGCCAGACGCACTTGGTGAGCTGCTGTGGAGCTGTGACGGGGGTCAAGGAGCCCAGCGCATTGGCGTGGAAGCTCCTGGAGCAGACAAAAAGTGATGAGACGAGCGCGACGTTTGCGTTCGGTCGACAACCGCCGCTTGTGGTCGTCGGAGAACACGCTCGACAATTAGCGCGCGACTTTGGACTCGAAACAGCGCGTGACGAAGAGCTGGAGACGTACCAAGTGACGGAGAAGCCGCGAGAACAATGGACCAAGTGGCATCAGCGCTTTCAAGTATTGGAGACCAAAGAGGAGCATCTAGACACTGTTGGGGCTATTTGTATGGATCCCAGGGGGAATGTAGCTGCTGCGTTGTCGAGTGGTGGGGTGACGTACAAAGTCCCAGGGCGATTGGGCCTCGCCGGGTGCCCGAGAATGGGCTGCGATGCATCGAATGCCGTGAATATCACGAGAAATAGTCGCAAAAGAAAGCGAGGTGAGCACATCAAAGTGAAGAATGCGTTCGCTGTGGCCTGTACAGGGCGTGGAGAGCACTTTATTCGGAGTAACTTGGTGGGGACGTTGACTCGGAGGCTAACAAAGTCTGCGGATTTGGAGCGAGGACTACGAAAAGCATTCACTGAGGCGAGTGAAGCGAATGGTGGAGTGGGAATTGAAGGCGGCGTGCTAGCATTGGTATCAGCACCAGCAAGAGGGGAAGATACAACAGAAGGACGGAGAGTTCAGCTGGGAGCCGCTTTCACGACTCCCTGTATGGGCGTTGGTTTCTTACAATGCAGTGCCGATGCCAGGCCTGAAGTGAAGGTGCAGCTCTTGCGGCAGCCAACATCTCGATCAGTGAGTGATAAGCAGAATCTTGCGGTCCACGTGTCGATTTTGCGTGTAGGTGCTCGAGAAGAAGAACTGAAATGCTCCAAATGAGCTCAGAGCGTCCATTTACCCCTTTATCACGACCGCCTCGTCCAGCCTTGTGTTAGTCGTTCAGACTTTCTAGTTGGCAAGCCACCCACAACACTTCAATCGGCAAGATTGCCGGTCCAAGTTGCACGTTTTGAGACCATCGGCAAAATTTCAGGCATTTATTTAATCGGACTGCAACGAAAGTTCCAGCAAGAGACTACAGCAGCACACGATGCAACACTGATGCTACCCCCCAGGCAGAAGTTGGTGACATATTATCTTTCAGGAACAATGTTAATTATGTGGATGGTTCAGCTCATGGTTCTAACGATAGACCCAAACAAAACGGTGAATACGATGATGAATACCGAGAATTTCTTGCTCTGGATCTTGGATGATCAAGCTGTGGAAACATACTTTCCAGTTTTTCCGGACGAATATGGTGGATAAAGCCAGAAATTCTATTTGATGACTAAGTTTCTTGTTTCGCACTACAATAAATGTGTGCTGCAAAATGGTTTCAAAAAGATTAAGAGTCAGCGGCTTCTGAGTGTTCGTTCTTGCCATGTTTGGTTGCTTGAGCTGCCGTCATCCCAACCTTAAAAATCTATTGTACTAACACTAAACGGTCTCCCGTTTCTTCCGATAGCGAATGGCGCCATCTTTGCTATCGCGAACACTGTTTGTTCCAATCCAAATCACAGTCTACGGGCGGCTCAACAATGCAAGATGTGTGCTAATAATGATAGGCATCGAAACTCGTGTGAGTACGAAAAATGTGCTAGGTTTCAAATGAACTGTAATGCATTGGCCGTTGAACTACTCTCCGAGCGGTTTCAATGACATCCAGCAAATTCACGAATAAACAGTGTTCATATATTTTGGTCGGCACCGTTTTAAACACGGTGCAATTTGCCTTAGTTAGTTAGCCGTATCGAAGTACTCCTTCGACGCGTCCACCGTGGGCTTGATCGTCTTCTTGCCCTTCTTCCAGCCAGCCGGACACACCTCACCGTGCTCGTCCGTGAACTGGAAGGCCTCCACCAGACGAAGGATCTCGTCCACGTTGCGACCCACGGGGCAGTCGTTGATGGTGCTCTGACGAAGCTTGCCCTCACCGTCAATGATGAACAGGCCACGGAAGGTGGCGCCGGTCTCCTCGCCCACGTCGATCAGGACATCGTAAGCCTGGGAGATCTCCTTGTTGAAGTCGGCAAGGAGAGGAATGTCCAGCTCACCCAGACCGCCCTTCTTGCGGGGAGTGTTGATCCACGCCAGGTGCGAGAACTTGGAGTCCACGCTGCAGCCCAGCACCTCGCAGCCAAGCTTACGGAACTCCGCAGCCTTCTCGCTGAACGCGATGATCTCCGTGGGGCACACGAACGTGAAGTCCATGGGGTAGAAGAAGAGCACGACGTACTTGCCCTTGTAGTCGGACAGCGACACGGTCTTGAACTCTCCGTCGACGACGGCGTCAGCGGTAAAGGCGGGGGCGGGGTGACGAATCTTGGGGGCCATTGTGGTTGTTGGTCTTGAGTCTTGCGGTGTAGATTCGAGAATGAGCCTTTCCGGAGTCTGGTATGGCGTGACATGGAGTCACATCCTGGTATGCTAAGGGTGGACTTGGTTGGTTGGATTGGTCTAAGTTACTGCGTAAGGAGTGAAGGCGAGCAACGTTGTCCTCCCATTTTGGTAGCGACATTATTCGAGCCACATTTTCTTCACTTCTTGTTCACTTGTCTGCACGGTCAACGCAGTCTAACGCAACAATCTACACAAGCGAAGTCACAGCGAATTGATACGAAGTGCATGTACATCCATCAATACTTTTGCCGACACCCCCTTGACCGATAAGCTTTCGATCTTGGCCATCAGTGCCCAGGCTGCAAATGTTTACCACCAAGTTCGCCAAACTGAGGCAATAATGTTAAAAAAATAATCAACCACAGCAATACATGCACATCAAGAACTAGCAACGAAATGAATGGACAACAATGACACGTCGAAACTGAAGCACGGCTCAACTGGCGAGATGCAGGCTGAAGTTGTGCTTCAGGACTGAAGCCATTGTCAACAATCGCGCTGATCTTTAAGACACGCTGTCCTACCTGTCCTTTCTCTGCAAACGGTAGCACAAGGGCGGACACAGTCTCAGTACCTTATTAACTAACATCAATATCTTTGCCGTTATTTTCCCTTTACTATACATAGTTTCACCATTATCCGGACATTTTTGTTACCCTTTTCTCATTACTCCGTCATCGTGCAGATTGCGCTGGGCTGCCACGTACGCGTGCCGTAACGGATCCCCAGCCTGTGGCTGCCGTCCAGCGGCAGGAGCTTTGACCTCATTCCTACGCCGGACACGAAAAAACCATTCTGGAATCTACACCGCAAGACTCAAGACCAACAACCACAATGGCCCCCAAGATCCGTCACCCCGCCCCCGCCTTCACCGCTGACGCCGTCGTCGACGGAGAGTTCAAGACCGTGTCGCTGTCCGACTACAAGGGCAAGTACGTCGTGCTTTTCTTCTACCCCATGGACTTCACGTTCGTGTGCCCCACGGAGATCATCGCGTTCAGCGAGAAGGCTGCGGAGTTCCGTAAGCTTGGCTGCGAGGTGCTGGGCTGCAGCGTGGACTCCAAGTTCTCGCACCTGGCGTGGATCAACACTCCCCGCAAGAAGGGCGGTCTGGGTGAGCTGGACATTCCTCTCCTTGCCGACTTCAACAAGGAGATCTCCCAGGCTTACGATGTCCTGATCGACGTGGGCGAGGAGACCGGCGCCACCTTCCGTGGCCTGTTCATCATCGACGGTGAGGGCAAGCTTCGTCAGAGCACCATCAACGACTGCCCCGTGGGTCGCAACGTGGACGAGATCCTTCGTCTGGTGGAGGCCTTCCAGTTCACGGACGAGCACGGTGAGGTGTGTCCGGCTGGCTGGAAGAAGGGCAAGAAGACGATCAAGCCCACGGTGGACGCGTCGAAGGAGTACTTCGAGGCTGCCAACTAAGCGAGACCTAGATGTACAAGCTCCGGGTTTCCACATGAGTAGCGACAAGCATAGATAAGTCGCAATACAAGTTAAGTTACAGCATAAGCTTGGTATGACTTCGTTTCGTTGGTTCGACTGACATATAATATGATGCTGTTATGTTCAGCCGACTGATATGTCGTAAATCAGAAGACATAGTAAGAATGTCATAGCCGTCACTTGCGCCGGGAACTCTGAATTGCATGAATATGGGACCCCTGGTCATAATGGCGTTGCATTTATATCTGGGGGCTCTACAGTAAGTATTCCACATCTTGCTCACGCATTGCGATGCCAAACTCAAGTACAAAGTTGTTGGGTAAAACCAGCTATGTATTTTATTAATTTGACACAGCACTCTATCTTGTTGTCTACAAGTTAGACGCTTTACAGAGCACCACTCTCCTTCAGCAGCGGCTCCAGGTTACCGGCCTTGTGCAGCTTGCGCACGTCCGAATTGCCACCGATTGACTTGCCGCCCACAAACACGTTGGGCACGGTGCTCTGACCCGTCAGGTCTTCCAGTGCGTCTTGCTGCTCGCTACCGCCGTCAATCTGGTCCAGCTCGACGACCTCGAACTTAGCGCCCAGCTCCGTCAGTAGCGCCTTGGTCTTGGTGCAGTACGGGCAGTAGCTCTTGCTGTAGACGACAACAGGCGACGCGGTGATCTGGGCTTGCACGGTTTCCTTGGCACTCACCATCTTGACTGTAGTTATGAAGTGTTTGGTTTTCTTGTTGTCTTGGAAGAGAAATTTAAAGTGAGGAGGTATGAGCTGAAGGTGAGCGTAGCCTCCCTTTGCTAAGGTCGGACATCGACAAGACGAGTAAGCAAGTGATCACACTGATTGTCATTTTGATTTTGTCGCATGGGCGGACAACGGTGTGGATCGATCATGATCAAGGGGAATTTCATCTTATGAGTCGTAGCTGGCGGCGACAGCAACGGCGTGAAAGATGGCTGAGTCGATTTCATGGTGTGATTCGCGCGCTCGTGATATGATAAGGGACATTCTTTAGTGTAGATGCATTGAGATCTCGATGATACGCTGCGTCACTGAAAAAGCAAGAACGTCATGTAACATGACTCATGCTCGTCTTCTACTCTGTGAACTTGAACGAATGTCATCGTATTCTGCGGCAAGGCAACGGGCATGAACCTCAGGTGGAGACGCCTTTTCCACCGACACGGCGACGGCGAGCTCACTTTTGTAAGACCCTTTTACATGGGCGAGCCTACAGTAAAAGAGTGTTAACGGTACAAGCAAGAAATTCGCCGTCCACTTAGCATTCTTCTTGTCTTTAGTGGATCACTGTGATCATCACACGCACACCATCGTGCTGTGCTTGCCCGACAATTCTTTCATAATTTCTTGATCATAATGCAGGAGTCTACGTTCCAAGGCTACACCATACTGAACCCCAAGTCCACGGGGTGCGAGCACACCACGAAGAGGCTAAAACTTGCTGTATACACATTGATCTGATCTATTCCCTAGGCAATTTAGTACCTGAGCCCACCCAATCTTACACAAGAAACCACACTTTGTGATTCCATTTCTGGTACGAGAGCACCAGGAGGCTGCGTGCAGATACGCCATGATCGACTTGGCTTTATCGTCACCGGCGTAGTGCTTCACAACAAGGAAGCTACGCCTATCGGGTACACTTGAAGCCGGGTCGTGCGACTTTACGATCCCACAAGTTCGCACCTGCACTTCAAGTCTGCGTTGGAAACACTGTCTATCCAAATTCGATATGTGGTGGCGAGAAGCATGCGTTTGCTTGCCACTAGTGAGTTTGGTCTCTGTGGCTGAAAGTACATGGATCAGTTCCGAATCAGCTGGGAAGAGCTCTCTTAATCATGCTTCGTGGACACGCGATCTCCATCTGGTAGCCTGGTTAGTCTCTATTTGATAGGCCTGCAATATTAGCGGACAGGCCCCTACACTATCAAACGCCAAGCTAAGCAGAAGTGGTGGTTCTGCATCTACAAGTCCATCGTTGAGTCTACTGGTGATTCAGTTCACTTTGAGCCGTGGCAAACGACAGTAGACGGAAGTCTAAACGGAGCGGAAGGTTCTTCAATCTGGAACTACTATTAGTACTGTAGACGCGCCTTCTATCGATCCAGCCTTCCGTAGAAAGAACACTGAGCCGGCTGGTACGAGGTGCGAACGGCACGTTCACTTTTGCATTCTCCACAAACCAGCGACTCTTGTAGCAATGCCTGCAAACCAGACGCAGCCGCAATCTCGAAATGGGTCCATCAAGGCGTCAACGGGTCTCCAGCTCCTGTCACCAACGTTCCAGCAGTCAATTCAAAACTCGACGTCGAAGCTATCGTCGTCACATCCGGCAGAATACTTTGGATGGAGTACGACACCCCCTGCCAGCTTTGATTCTTCCGATCTCAGTTCAGCAGACACGAACGAGAACAACCAGGACACGAAATGCAACAACGATCCAGTAGACTTTGACTTCGACGGGTTCACGCTCGAGTCAGTGCGTGTTCGAAAGAAATCGGTAGAGCAAGACGCGTCTGGAACGTCTGCCCGCTCAAGCTCACGTGTAACCACTAGTCAAGACCAACTACCTGGAGACTACTGTGCGTTCTACTATGACGACAAATTCAAGCCCAACCCACTCAGCTGCAGCATGGGAAGCATTCGAACTACAACTACCACCGAGGATTTCGAGATGTCTCGACGTCTTCAACAAAACTCGTTCCAGAAGCAGAGTGCCTTCAGTCGTTCCAGTGGGAGTGATGCTAACCGCAGTACATTCCAACTGAGCTCAACCGCGGCGGCGGCTGGATTCCCCATGGCCAAGAAGAAGGAGTTGACGGCAGTGGTGATGCGAGGCTGGCTGCAGAAGCGTAAGGGCCTCGTACTCAAGCGCTGGAAACCGTACTACTGTCTGTTCAAGAGTGATGACAGCCTGTGCCTCTATGCGAGCGAGGACACGGTCAACGGTAGATTGGAGCAGCGGTATCAAGTTCTGCGGGTTGTGCTCACCGACAAGAATGACTCGTTCCACATTATTGGCGTGGACGTTGACGGTGCCCCGCGTCGTGAGGAGTTCCGAGCCTCAGTGTCTCCGGAATGGAACAACTGGTTCCAAGTTCTCGGCAGATTCTTCGATAGTTCGTCCATGGAGCAAGCCTTCGTTCGGAAACCTGAACTCACGTTTGCTAAGGCGTTGAGCGAGACAGACGAGGGCGATTGGGTTGACAACAACGTGGAACGCGTACCCCCCAGCAAGAACTACCAGCCTTATGACGAGCGGTATAGCTATTTCGGCCAAAGGAAGCAGTCAATAGCAGCAGTCCGCAACTCGTTCGATGGTGAAGACAAAACGTCAACAGTCTCCTCGTCTTCTATCCCCCGTGGTGTGAACAATGCGCCTCAGGAAACAGCGAAGGTTAGTACGAACCAAACAACGTCAGACTGCCCCATGATCGAGCGAACAAGTCAGGGAACCGTTCCTATTCTGGAGATTCGCGCATCGGAACCCAAGGAAGCAACACGAGCGTCTGGGTTCTCCTGGACGTAGTAGGACAGTGTGATCCATCAATTTATAAACAATAATACACAGTTACAGGACGCTGTTTCTCCAGTTTTAAAGGGTTAACCCTTAAACAAATTATGTATTTATTCGGGAGGGGATAGTAAAACACTTCAAAACATACAAATCTTGACTTCCCAAGCTCTTCGAAAAGGCGTGGCCACTCTAGTCTTAAAGGCTTGAGGATGTAAGGCATGTTTAATTGATGGCATTGAGAGTGTCACCCGTCAACACCGCCAGCGATACATCGACGAACTCGAAGAAGTGAGGTCTCAATGGCACACGCGGCACACATCTTAGTGAACTGGCAATGTGAAGATGTTTCTCGTAGTGCTCGTCACTGAATGGGACCTTTGCCTTTCCAAAGTTCTTCCCGTTGTTTAAAGCAACACGAGCCGCGTCCGTGAGTTGATCCCACTTGTCAAGTCCTGGTACTCGCCATCTTCTAGAGACACCTGTACATTCGCAATGCCAATATCTGTAACATATTGGAATCGAGGAGACGTGTTGGAGACGCCAGCAGTACTTTTCGACCCCCATATTCGGTATCCAGCATAATACTCTGGCAATATTTTGACATTCGTGGTGTATTTCGCGTCGGACTTGGACATGGAGACCGCAGCAACCTTAGGCGTCTCAAATTCGGGATTGTCAATCCACACTCTTCCAATCATGACGTCTCGAGGAGAACTCCGTGAAAAAACCTTTTGGGAAGTACCAAGCGTACATGATGGCCCACAAATCCTTAGCTCGACCATAGACTTGAGAGCCCAAAGGAGCATACTTGCACGCATCATTTCTTTTCGTCCCCTTGAGCCCACCAGTAGTCTCCCCCGCAGCATCAACGGCAGGATAAGGCACGCAAACGTATTCCGGGGTGAACAGTTGTGGCTTGAATTTGATGGCAGCCTTATCAGAGATTGTGACTGGCATGACTTGAGGAAACGGTTGAACTTTGCCGTGACCGATACTTGCCGTAGCACAAGCAACCAGTGCTGCGAAAAGTGCCGCGGTGAGAATTAGGAGGTTCATTTTCGACCTGGAGAAAAAAAAATAATGAGCTACGTCGATGAGGACGCGCAGGGGGTGCAGATAACTTGATAAACTCTGTTGCCCTGTACCGAATCTCTTACTAGTAGTCCAGTAAGAGATTCGGTGTTCTGAGACCATTGTGTGATTATTGATTCATGACCCCGTATTTGTCACAACAGAGCTTACAATTTGCAGGCCACAAACAGGTATCAGGTAGTCCACCAAGAGTGGAATCACTTGTGATTATTGCTTCATGACCCCCCCATCTGCCCCATCAAAGCTTGCAATTTGCAGGTCACAAACAGGTACTAGGTACTTCAAATAGTAAAAGAGTGTTTAGTAACCTCACAAGTGAAGTAGGTGAAGTAGGTAGCGGTAATAAAAGAAAAAAAAAACTCTTTAACTCATTTTCTTTTAAAAATTGTGCCGGTAGTAAGAGAACAGTATTGTAGTAGTAACAGGTTTAGCGCTCTTACTACCGGCACTTTTGAAGTAGCTAGCAAATGCGATACTTGCATTAAACCAAAAGTACTCACGCAGATAGATCGAAAAAAATATCGCCCTTTGTAGCACAATAGCCCGTAATGTTCTTCAACCTCTAAAGTGCTACATCCCTACAATAAAAAAAACTGATGTTTTAAAAGTGAGGTTTAAAAAAAATGGAAATAAGTAGTCATTGCTTTAACCCCCCAAACCCGAGAGCCTGTATCAGGCACGTTAGCAAAAATCCTTGATGTTGTATCAGACACGTTAACGAATGTAACACTGCGTTTTTGTATAGTCCCTTACAAATTTAACGTCAAGGAGGGGTAGGTTCCTCCCATCCCAAGATATTGACAATTACATAGGTGTGCAAATGCTCGCAAAGCTGTGACGCGTCGGATTTTTTAGAAAATAAGTTTTTGCAGATATTATTATGTGATACACACAATTATATCCGCAATCAGAGGTGCAATTGCGCGCCACCAGTTTTCCCGTTAGTTCGAAATCTCCCCCCACCTTTGCCCGCACTACACCAGTCGCGCACAGAATCATGACGTTCAAGTCTTGCTGGAGAGAGCTCAAGCGCGACGGTTGGACGTCGAAGCCACCCGTTGAATTATCTAACGACTTCTTCTACATAAAACCTGGGAAAACGAAGAAGGGCGTGCGAGGCGAAGATTTTTTCCTTGGCGAAAAGGAGTTGATGGATCACTTGGACCGCTTAGCTCTGGGTAAGGGTGCAATGTGTTGTGTCGATATAAGAATCAAACCTAATTAACATACCAGCAGGCCGAACGCGTCAGAAGCAGAAGGACCGTGATGTTTACGGACGGACAATCGCTGCCCAGAACGAGCCTGTCCACGACGGATCGGCATCCTGAGGTATGCATCCTACAACTTGTATAATACACGATATGCACCTGACCTTATCGTGTATGTTACAGAACATCGAGTTGGTCCAGCTGAAGCTGCTGTTGAGGGCAGTACAACCTCCCCTGCAGGTACCGGTTGAACACAAGTCAAACTGGTAGAATCTGACTGATCGTATGTATTTGATATAGTAACCCCAGAGCACACATCACTAGGCGAGCGCCTCATCCCTACGTCCCCGCACGTGATGGCCAGTGATGAAGAGAGTGAGAGCTGTTCGCAGAATGGCACACCAGTACCGGATGACTCTGAAGGTACCTTTGTTGAGTGGATATGGTCCGCATGCTAATCTATTGTTGAATTTAGCAGTACAGCGCAATTTGGAGGC